TTGACGGGCATCCTATCGGCCACCCTGAGTATGACCCTCGCACTCTATATATCCCACCATTGGCTTGGACCAAGTTCTCTCCATTTGAGAAGCAATACTGGGAGATTAAGCAGAAATTTTGGGATACTGTTGTCTTTTTCAAGAAGGGCAAGTTCTATGAGCTCTATGAGAATGATGCTACCATCGGACATCAATTGTTCGATCTAAAGCTTACTGATCGTGTGAACATGCGCATGGTTGGCGTTCCAGAGATGAGTTTGGATCACTGGGCCAACCAGTTCGTGGCCAAGGGGTTCAAGATCGCTCGTGTTGACCAAATTGAGTCGGCCCTGGGCAAGGAGATGCGCGAACGTGATGGTAAGAAGGGCGGGGGTAAAGAAGACAAAGTCATTAGAAGAGAACTGTCGTCAGTTCTCACGGCCGGTACCCTTGTGGAAGGCTCCATGCTGCAGGATGACATGTCTACGTACTGTGTTGCTATCAAGGAGGCTCTAATCGATGACAAGCCTGCCTTTGGTATCGCTTTTGTCGACACAGCAACCGGCCAATTTTTCCTATCGGAATTTGTGGACGATGTTGACATGACGAAGTTTGAAACTTTTGTCGCGCAAACCCGACCACAGGAGCTTCTTTTGGAAAAGTCTGCAGTGTCCCAGAAGGCTTTGCGCATCTTGAAGAATAACACTGGCCCGACTACGCTCTGGAATCATTTGAAGCCGGTGAAAGAGTTCTGGGAGGCTGACATTACGGTCAAGGAGCTCGATGCGAGCGAGTATTTCGTCTCACAGGACGATGATAACCTGCAAGCTTGGCCTGAAGCACTCCGAGAAGCCCGGGACAAAGAGTTGGTCATGTCTGCATTCGGCGCTTTGGTGCAGTACCTCCGACTCCTGAAGATTGACCGTGATTTGATCACCATTGGCAACTTCACTGCGTACGACCCGATCAAGAAGGCCACCAGCCTGGTGCTGGATGGTCAAACTCTTATCAACATGGAGATATTCTCCAACTCTTTCGATGGCGGCTCTGAGGGCACCTTGTTCCAGCTTTTGAATCGGTGTATCACACCTTTTGGTAAGCGCATGTTCAAGCAATGGGTATGCCACCCGCTTGTGGATGCAACTAAGATCAATGCTCGGTTGGATGCTGTGGATGCCCTCAATGCTGATCCTACTGTCCGGGACCAATTCTCGTCCCAGCTGACCAAAATGCCTGACCTGGAGCGACTCATCTCCCGTGTCCATGCTGCGAACTGTAAGGCCCAAGACTTCTTGCGCGTTCTGGAAGGATTTGAGCAGATTGAGTACACCATGAGTCTGCTCAAGGAAAGTGGCTCAGCAGGAGAAGGTGTCATTGGGCAGTTGATTAGCGGAATGCCTGACTTGAACGACCTACTCGAGTACTGGAAGACTGCTTTTGATCGTTCCAAGGCGAGAGAGAACGGAATCTTGGTACCGAAGCCCGGCGTTGAGGAAGACTTTGACAGCTCCCAGGAGAACATTGAGCAAATCCACCGCGACCTTGAGAGCCTCCTGAAGCGTGTACGCAAAGAGCTTGGATCTTCCGCCATTATCTACAAGGACAATGGCAAAGAGATTTACCAATTAGAGGTGCCGATCAAAGTCAAGAACATTCCAAAGAACTGGGATCAAATGTCTGCTACGAAACAAGTCAAGCGCTACTACTTCCCGGAGCTGCGCAAGCTCATCCGTCAGTTGCAGGAGGCCCAAGAAACCCACAGTCAGATCGTCAAGGAAGTCGCTGGCCGATTCTATGCACGATTTGACGAAAACTACACCACCTGGCTTGCTGCCGTCCGCATTGTAGCCCAGCTTGACTGTCTCATCAGTTTAGCCAAGGCCTCATCCTCTCTCGGCCAGCCCAGCTGCCGGCCCGTCTTTGTGGACGACGAACGAAGCGTTCTCGAGTTCGAGGAGTTGCGCCATCCATGCCTGATCTCCTCGGTGGGCGACTTCATCCCTAACGACGTCCAGCTCGGAGGCACCCATGCGAACATTGACCTCCTCACCGGAGCCAACGCAGCCGGAAAGTCCACCGTCCTCCGAATGGTGAGCAAGCTCTTTCCCTTCCATATCTTCTGTAAAATATTCAGACTAACGCTGCAATTTCTAGACCTGTGTCGCCGTCATCATGGCCCAAATCGGTTGCTACCTCCCCTGCCAATCCGCGCGCCTCACCCCAGTGGACCGAATCATGTCCCGTCTAGGCGCAAACGACAACATCTTCGCCGCCCAGTCGACCTTCTTCGTCGAGCTCTCTGAGACCAAGAAGATTCTCTCTGAAGCCACACCCCGCTCGCTCGTCATCCTCGACGAACTGGGCCGCGGTACCAGCTCCTACGACGGTGTGGCAGTCGCCCAAGCCGTGCTGCACCACGTGGCCACGCACATCGGCGCTCTCGGCTTCTTTGCAACCCACTACCACTCCCTTGCTGCTGAGTTCGAGGGACATCCTGAAATCGCACCAAAGCGAATGCGCATCCACGTTGATGATGAGGAACGCCGCGTCACGTTCTTGTATAAGCTTGAAGATGGTGTTGCAGAGGGTAGTTTCGGTATGCACTGTGCGGCGATGTGTGGCATTCCGGACAAGGTTATTGAGCGGGCCGAGGTGGCTGCTAAGCAGTGGGAGCATACGAGTCGGTTGAAGGAGAGTTTGGAGAGGAGGAAGGGGGGTGGATTGGTGGGCATGGGATGGTGGAGTGATGTTGCTTGGGCGTTGCGGGACACGATGGCTGAGAGTGAGGAGGGTGCCCAGGAGGTGAGTGATCGCAGTTTGGAGGTGTTGAGGAAGGCGATTGAGGCTTTGTGAGGGGGTGCAGGGTTTCTTCCGGGTTATTGAAAGGCATACATGCCTACATAGATGCTATCTTCTGTTTTTGTTATCCTTATGAGTAAGGACCGGGTGTTAAAATTAGGGCTATGTTTCGAAAAGTGAGGATATAATTGGGCTTTAGTTGTTAATCTGAGGTATTGAAATCGGATACGTGCTACAAAACCAATATCCATAAAGGCTGCATATGTAGTAACTCCTGTTGACAGCTATTTTTCGAAGCATTGCCGGCTCTCGCCTACTACTACTTAATATCATGTACTTGGGAGAGTTGAAGGTGGAAATTAATATCGATATAATCCTTCCAAGAAACTATGACTGCTCGTGATGATGGATACTCCAGTTCCTTCCCTTTGGAGAGAGATACCCATCCAACTCAAGAACAGAACCATACCAAGTAAAAATACCCAAGGTTATCAGATTATTGCATTGTCCTAGATCTGCATGCCTTGAAGGGTGAGGGGAACCCATGCGGCAGATGAGTCCAGCTGGACGAAAGACGAACCCAATAACTGTCTGCCCCATTTCCAAAATAACCCTAAAAATAGATAGAGAGGAAAGAAGACAAATACCACCTATTTCGAAACCTGCTCACATGTAAACACAACTACTGGTCATTGCTCACCTCCCTCTGTTGGAACTGCAGATCATATTCAACCTTCACAGCCCATATATCATGCGGGCCTATGTTACTACCTTCATCAGTGCTTATTTAAAAGGTATAGTATATCTGGCATCTTCCTCAAGAGCCGTATCATTCGAAAATATGGCCCCAGAGTCTTTCAGACGACAGCCCGCCCTAACCCATTGACAGCGATTCATATATTGTATTATCGTCGTGTGCTCAGTCATGTTCCCCTAATGATATTGAACACCGAAAGAATTGACAATTATGTCTCTTGACTCATGAAGGAAACCAAAACAGATGGACAAAAGCAGAAAGCAGGCGTAGTTGAGCCAAATCGAGACACAGATACTCGAGCGACAGTAAAAATGGGGTAATAACCTTCGATAAGAGAACAAATCGAAGGTAGCGGCATTAGAACAAGTATTCATTCACGCCGAGGCCTCTTCAAAAGAGGAGAATCCAGAGCGTTTATCTCGGCACGCCATAAAGCTGCTCGAAGCTTAGGATCTTTCTTAACTGCTCCCTTGCGAAGGGTTTCGAGGCGTAACTTGAAAACTTCCAAAAAGAATTCCAGGTCCTCAACAGCATCGGCGACAAAGTCGTCGTTTCGCCATTGGTCCAGAGTCACCGGCCAGCGGAGAACTTTGCCCCCTGGCATTCCTGTCGATCTGATCTTGGCTAGAGCCTTTTCGAGAGGGGCGGGAATAGAGGTCAGGTCGATAACCGAACCGTGACGGCGCTGAACTTCATCTACAGGAGCCGTATTCGAATCGGTTTCTCCTCCAATTTCTTCCTCTTGCGCTTCTATAGCAGTGTAGGGTTCGATGAAGAGCTGCTCTTCAAATTCAGTAGTCGTGTTCCTCCCAAGGGCCATGATCTGGTCCCTTATCTCTCGCTCCATCAGGCCAACAGTGACACTGCTGGATGTCTCAATGGTATCGGACGATTCATGTCCATCTACATGAGCCCCTTGGATAGGGCGTCTGTTCGTGTTGTTGGGCATCGCGTTGGTTCAATGGCGATTATGTAGGTAAATGCGCGAATTTAACAATTACGATGGAGGCTGCAGGACTTCGAACTGTTGGTCCGCAGATGTTCTTTCCAAGAGTTGATTGGATGAATCCAGGCCAAAGTCTTGTGATGAGCTGAATATATGATAAGTATGGTGCTTCTATGATGACAGGGGCTTGCTTTTGTCACTCACCTGGGATGCCAATAGGTCCAACAGTCAAGTTCTGTTGTGCAGAAAGGGTGACGATGAAGAGGAAGAAAGCAAACTACATGACTGATACTTATGGCTGACCCGCCGGTGCTAGAGAATCCTTCACACGTACAAATGAACGACTAATCGATCTATCACCAGGGCGATATTCACATCTACTGTCAAGAAAAGGCTTTGACGAGCAGATTCTCCTGTGCAGCTCCTCACTTCTTCCTCCCAACCTTCCTCTCTCTCGAAAATTGTATTCATTTCCAACCACAAATACCTCATCTGATAGCATTTTATCCATATTATATCATGGGCGAGAATATTGAGGCTGTTGATGCACGTTTCAAGATTATAGCTGAGAATCTGCGTCTGGCTATGTGCGCCGCTCCCGAACTTGACATGGCATTTGAACCAGAGCGTGCAGGCAGGAGCAACTCAGTCACCATGATCCCAACCGTCCCAGCTGAATCTCCTGGTGAGCCAACCTGTGAACCAACGTTCTCTGTGCTACAATTACCAGGGGCTCGTTCCTCTACAGAAAACCCTCAACGACGTCCCCAGGAAGTATTCGGCTTCACTCCGGATCACCTTGATGTGCTTCAAAGCGATCTCGCGGAGCTTCGAGCTTCGCTCGCAGCCATCGGTTCAATTGCGCATTCTTCCGATGAAATCAAATTGTTGAAGCAACTGGTCAAGAAATTGCAGGAAGATTGTCTTCGCGCCCAAGAGGATCGGGTATCCGCTTTGTTGGAGTGTGCGAAACTGCAGAAGGAGCGTAACGACGTATGCCGTGATGCGATTGAGAAGATTGAGGCACTCCGAAAAGAGAATAGAAGGTTGAAATTGGATCTTGCCAATTTAAAACACAAGCAAGATAAAGAGGTGGAAAAGGGCAACAAAAACCGGATTGGCAAGGAGGGTAGGTCCAAGAAACGCGTACGTTTCGAACTAGATACCTGTCCGGAGGAACCAAAAGCACAACAACCTTCGTTGGACCCGGACGAGACTCGTGATCCCAGACTTGCACGCCCATTGGCAAGGCCGCCGCTACATCGCTCTCCCCTAATTTGGGATCCAGATAACGGCCCACAGGAGCCGTCACCAGCACGATACTCGTCGCCCCAAATATGACCGCAGCGGCCTTCGAAGGGCGCCAATCAATCATGACCCCGAAAGTCGGACAAGGATCCATATCACCACTTGAATGAATCTGTGTAGATGTGTGCCTTAGTGATATGCGCGACTTTGATTGGGCTTGGTATGGGTCTCGTCCAGGGAGCATGCGTGTGGACATTTTCGTGAGGCGAACTGGTTTTCTGCACTATACACCAGCCCCCGTAGCGTATCATGTTATTTATGATGATGTAGCTAGCTGCGACCTAGGAAAAAAAAATAAATAAAAAATAAAAAAAAAAGAAAGAAAGAAAGAAAGAAAGAAAGAAAGAAAAGAAAACGGAATAACCCCCAAATTCCATTTTTGATTGAACTTCTGATATTAGACCCTAGGGTATGGATGATGAGGCATATTGAGAATGCCAGACTGTGGGAGCAGAAAATGGTATTCAGTCAAGACACTGATGCTTCTTCTGATATAGCAGTAGTAGCTACTTGAAGTAAACGGCACTGTCTAACACAGCCAACTATCATATACAAGCTTGAAATGTTGCAGTATTAGCAAGCGATAATGTAGTGGAAATTGTGAATTCTCACATGTAGGTTTCTCACATGCCAAAAATAACAATGTACGTTCAACATACTTTGCTCTATTCGTAAATGCAATCATAAACAATATACAAAGTATCTAGATTCTCTCATTGTCGAGCAGAAGGCGAATTGAAGACCGAGCCTTCCATTAAAGACACAAGCGATCATGTCGAACAAGCCCAGCAATTGTAAACATAACCATCAGCCCGGCCAGACCTAATAACACTGCTACCCTTTCTAATCCCGCTCATCTCATCCTCTTTCCAGCTTCCCTTCTCCAATGTTTCCGCCCCGTGGCTTAGCATTGTATGAGGCGTAGCGTGCCAGTGTAGCACGAGCCCGTTGAACACACTCTGATACAATCCGGAGTCCTGATCGGCAGTAATGAAGTTCAAGTCCTCCAGAAAGGCCGCCTGGTAGTGATTGGATCAAAGGTGATCCCGCAATTGCCCTGCCCTGCGATGAAGCCGCTAGGAGAACGATGTAACAATCTCATAATTGGTTTTGGTCAAAGCTCCCAACAAACCCAAACCCCTACGGATCAAATTGAGTGTAGAATCGCAAACTCCACCTCATGAAACCATTCGACCTGGTTGGTCGGCTCATAACTTGGCGGTTGATCCCGAGCTCCGCAAAATAAACTCCCGCGATGATGAGCGAACCAAAAATTCAGGACCACGGTTGAAGCAAAAGGTTAAATTATAAATAAAGATCGACATAGCGTGTGATCCTCATGAACACCCCCGTGGGACAGGGTTCTGTATTAACATTTAAAGTTCGACTAAGCAAACGGAAACGCTTCAAAACACCCGCTTTTTGGGTCTCTGCTTCAACTTCCCCGGAAATTCAGCCATTTTCTAACCGTTCGTGATCCAGTCCCTGTAAATCACTGACAATTCAGGGGTTTGCACATCGTCATTTGCTGGAAACAGACCTACTATTCAGGTTTTGCACGCAAAGTATCATCATGGTGTCGTTCTTTTGCCGGTTTTTGAATGTACTCTCTTCACGAGGACATACTAGCCAGAGAGCTATATAAAGTCGCTCAATTGTCCTTCAATCATCTCTATCATCATCAGCAGCAATCAGCAAACATCACTCTACTATCAATACTCAATTCAATCCAAATCCCCATACCTCAACCATCATCATGAAGCTCTCCATCGTCTCCATCCTCACCCTCGGCCTCGCCGCCGGCTCCCTCGCTGCGCCCACCGCGGTTCAGGAGCGCGACCTCCCCACCGTCACCGGCGTCCTCTCCAGCATCGGCACCAAGGTCGACGCCCTGGGCTCTGCCATCCAAGCTTACAACGGTGGCGACGTCGCCAAGGTCCAGCAAGCCTCCGACACTCTCGTGACGGCCATCAACAACGGCAACACCAAGGTCAGCAGCACGGCCGCCCTTAGCAGCGGCGACGCGCTGGGACTCCCCGGCCCCGTCAACGACCTCAAGGACAAGATCACCACCGTCATCAACAAGCTCGACGGCAAGAAGAGTCTCATCGTCAAGGCCGGCAAGGGCACGCAGACCTACAACGACCTGACTCAGCAGAAGGCTGCCGCCAAGAAGCTGTCCGACACGATTGTCTCCAAGGTCCCGGAGAACCTCCAGAGCCTGGCTGGCTCCATCGCTGGCGGTATCTCCGACGCCATCGACACCGGTGTGAAGGACTTTGCCGATCAGGCCCCCAAGGGCTCCAAGCGTGAGGAGGCAGCCCCTCTTGTTGATGCTGCTATTGCGGTTTAAGGTGATGCCTCTGGGGAGGGGTGTGGATCTGCTGCGCAGGTCATACACAGTTGTTTGCGGTCTCGCTGGATACATTTGAAGTTATCGGGATAGCTATTGTGTGCGGAGGATCAATGTGGAGTAGTGGATTCTTTATAGTTGAATTGAATTATTGCTTATATATTAGTGCTTTCCAGTGTAGCCTGATCTAGGAAGGATCCGACGTAGCATAGCTCGTAGTTTAATAGCCCTCAGTTCATGTCTGCGGGAGAAACTATATAAATCAGCCAGCAGGTAGGACTATTTTACGTTTATGTACATAAAGGTGGAATGGGACCAGCCAGATTCAGTAGCTATTCGTCTTTAAGATTAGCATAAGAGCAAATCTATACTTTGATATCTCTTTCGATATTAGACCATTTATAATATTAGAAATTAGTGAAGCTGTCAATTGGATAGGATGACATTTACAACTTAACAATTGCGATGAATATGGGTGGGACTTAAGTCGCGTGTATATCTAATTGGTTGAGTCGAGTCAAATGAAGCCTGTGGCCGATGATCCCGAAAGGTATGCGGGGCGTACCTGTATTTGTGAGAATAGAGAAATTGGCAAGGTGATCATTGATATTGACTGTGCCCCGGTAATGACAATTTCTCAACTCACGCAAAATGAACCACACAGCCAAGACATATCTTTGCTTGTTCATGGAATCGGTAGAAGTTACAGGATTTAAATGTAGTTATTATGAAGCCCATAAAGAACTGTCTCAGGCGGTATTCTGTATGCAGCATACAATCGACGGTGAGGCTCTGGAGGGATGTTCAGCAGTCGATAATCATGGCCGAGTCCAGGCAGCAAATGCTCTCGGCCGCCAGGTAACCACATCTTCTACAATCTATGCATGAGGATGGGGTATGATGCAGTTGACGTATCACAGGGCAGGCACCAGGGAGCCGTTGCCTAACCGTTGCACGCCCTTGCGTCTCGAGCAAAGCTATATAGATCGATCAGAGCACACCTCAAGAACACCATCATGATCAGGCTGAGCTTCTAAGAGCAAGGCATCAGAACATCCGTTTACTACGCATTTATTGCCATCCATTGATCGCCTCGCCAAATCCAGTTTCGACCCTGTTGGCCAAGGTGAATCAGCTCACCGTTCGGCGGCAGGAGAATGGCAGGTGGAAGAACGATGCCGAAGATAGTGAAAGTCGGCTCGCCCTGGCAATGGTCTGTCTGTTAGGGGAAGAGGACACCGTGTCTGATCTTCTGGCCAAACGACGGAGGATCAGAGCCATGGATGGCAGCAGTAGCTATGCGGAAACTCTTATAATTGCTTCAGAGTACAAGAACGCCCTCAACAGCATTTTTGCCTCCAAACGGGACCAGTGGAAAGCTAAAAGGACTATTGGTGGACGTACGCCACTTTGCTGTGCTGCAGAGGGTGGTAACGCGAACATAGTTCGCATGTTGTTGGAGAACGGCGAGGACGTGAACGAGACAGATGCAGATGGTGGCAGGTGCGTCCCGCTGCATTGGGCCGCCTACGACGAGAACCTGGAGGCATTAGGGCTTTTGTTGAAGCATCAGGCCAATATCGAAGCGGTCAATGCTGACGGACATACGCCGCTTGCTCTCGCAGCCCGGACCTACCAAGTGGCGGCAGTCAACCTGTTGCTCGAAAAGTACAATCCCAACGTCAATTCGATGGATGACCGTGGGTTCACGCCGCTATATACACTCGTTAAGACAAAGCCCAAAAATTCGCGGGAAGCTGAGGCGCGGCGGAAAATCATGAGTCGTCTCATCGAAGGAGGAGCGGACGTGGAGGCCCGATTAGGATTATATGGCCCTACTGCTTTGCATAGCGCTGCACTCAACTGTTGCTTTGAGGATGCAGCCATGTTGCTGGAGAATGGAGCTGACGTCAATGTCAGTACTCGTGATGGATTGTCACCCCTAGCCTGCGCCGCAATACAAGGCAACCTGGAAATGGTGAAATTATTTATGGACCACAATGCGAAAGTTGATGAGCCGGGCGTACAAAACATGACACCTTTGGAGATGGTAATAATGGCTCAACACGATTGGTGGGAATGTGGAATAAAAGTTGATAACACGTTCCGGCCACATATCATCGAGCTTTTCCTGCAACGCAAGCCCGACTTACTCCTGCAAAAATCTAAGTGTAATCTTTTCTTGGAAGGGACCATCATCACGGGAATGGCTATCTATCAGGGTACTCCGGAAATGGTGAAGATATTGTTACGCTATCCGGGCAGCGATGTCGAGCAAGGCGTCCTCCGTATGCCACTTCTGTGTTGGGCTGCGTTCCAGGGCGAAGCGGACATGGTCGCAATGCTGATAGAGCAGGGTACTTCCCTTCAGGGGATTGACGGCCGCTACGGGCGAAACGCGCTTTCCTGGGCAGTCATTAAGGGCCACCAAGGCGTGTTCGCCCATTTACTGCACACTCCCGGTTTCGGGTTGGATGACGTTGATCAACAAGGTCGGTCGGCGCTCTTCCACGCGGCAGTCGCTGGCCATGAAGACATGTTCGAAGAACTTAGATCCCGGGGCTGCGCCGTGCATCGTCCTGACCAATTTGGCTTCACTCCCCTAATTGTAGCGGTTCAGCACAGACGGGAGAATGTCATCCAGAAGATCCTTGAGAACCATCCGCTAACACAGGAGCCCCGGGACCGCTTTGGTCGCAGTCTGTCGTGGTGGATGCGCTCGACTGGAAATGATGCCTTGCGAGAAGTCATCGTCGGCTACGGCATGCAACTTGGGGGGCTTAGTCCGATAGAAGAAATCCGTTCATTTCTTCATTATGAGTCGAATCGGTCGAAACAGCCTTGCGATGTCTGTACGCTTGGTCTCAATCGAGGTGACAGAGGCATTGAATGTGGTTCGGGGTGCAGGAAATATCGGATTTGCCACATATGCCGTCAGTTTGGTGCGAGCAGTGAGGACTTTGAGGGATCGGAATCTGAGGGATCCACTGAATAGTATGTGTTTACTGTCAGGAGCTGATTGTAGTTCAGTGAACAGGTGAATTTCTCTACTTTGTTCACCTGTTCATTTAAAGTATATCCGGTAGAGTATGTCAGATTAGTTTCGAATCGTAATCAAGTTAGATCACTATTGTCAATAGTAGAGCTAAGGTTGTGTAGAACAGTTAGGAATGAATCCAACTCATTCTGTGATTGATTCTAGAAGGAGTATCCATAATAAGTCCCGGTCACCTACAGATAGCTACACATAGGCGATCATTAAATACAACGAAATAAGCAATAGGAAACTCCTAGAAAGTCAATCTTGATAAAGAGTAGCCCGTCGCAAAACGCCAGACTTAGTAGAGGTATACCCTTAGTGGTACTAGTAGGGCAGACCAGCTCAACGACTGGTCTGACGAAACAGGAGGCTCCAGACCCCGAAGGTTTGTCTGACAAGTGCATGCGTCCCGATCAGCAATCCTACATACCGGAAATCTAATACGGAAGACGGCAACAAAGCAAAACAGTTTCTAGCATCAATACTCATCATTTATGAGATGGTCTCTCCGGTCACGTGCTTGTGATGTGAGCCCTCAACACGTCATGAGGTATCAGCGGAAGCGGATGGTACGGATGTGGAGGCAGCCAGGCGGGTGTGGCGGTAAGCCGTTAGCGCCTCCCCTTGGACCTGCATAGTATACAAAGTATACGATGTAAAAGGCCTTAGTGAACATGCAAGTGATGGAAGAGATATAGTCAAAAGAATGATAGCATCTAAGGCAAGTTCGATTGCAAGCCAATAGTCACTTCACTGTTATTCATTGAATCTTGTGCTTTCTCCGGAATGGTCGGCAAACTGTCCTTCGCCCTCGTTTCCTTGCTACCCATTGCCTCAGTTTCAGCCGGCTTGTCGTGTCGCTGCTTTCCTGGAGATGCGTGCTGGCCTTCCACGCAGGACTGGGACACTTTCAACGCTACCCTGGGGGGGAGGCTCATCGCCACAGTCCCTGCTGTGAGTGTATGCCACTACAACAGTACATTCTTGCCATACGATGCGGCGGCTTGTGAAGAGCTGCTGGCAGCGTGGAACGAAACCAGAACCCACTATGAGACCAGTTACTCCCCAATGGCGCCGTGGTTCTCCAATTTCTCCTGCGATCCATACCTGCCCAACACACCCTGCACCATCAGGCCCCTGGTCCGGTATGCCGTGAATGCCAGCAGCGCGCAGGATTATCAGGCAACCATCGAGTTTGCTACCAAGCATAATATCCGCCTTGTTGTCCGCAATACTGGCCACGATTATCTTGGCAGGTCCACTGGGGCTGGCGCCTTGGCCCTTTGGACTCATCATCTGAAAGAGATTGAAATTGTCGAATACCAGTCGACAGGCTACTCCGGGCCCGCCATTAAGGTCGGCGCAGGTGTGCAGATTTTAGACGCCATGAATGTGGCCCATGAACAAGGGTACACCCTCGTGGGTGGCAACTGCCAGACAGTAGGCTATGCTGGCGGGTATTCTCAAGGCGGAGGCCACGGCCAGCTGATGTCCATGTATGGCCTGGCTGCAGACCAGGTTCTGGAGTGGGAGGTAATCACCGCTACGGGGGACCACTTGATTGCTACCCCTTTCAATAACTCTGATCTATACTGGGCGATGAGTGGTGGTGGCGGGGGCACCTACGCCGTTGCCCTGTCCATGACCAGCAAGCTTTATACTGACATTCCGGCCGCCATCGCCAACTTGACCTTCACCAATGACAGAGTGACCGAGGATATGTTCTGGGAAGTTGCTGCGATCTACATCCAGGATACAGCTAGACTGGCCGATTTAGGTGGTGCTGCGGTTTGGGAAGTCACTAACGCGGTCTTTAAGAGCATGCCGTCCACGCTACCTAGCGGCACCAAGGAGCAGTTGCAGACGCTGATGCAGCCCACCCTGGACCTTCTGAGCAGCAACAACATGACCTATAGTACGTTTAATCATCTCAATCAGAGTCACTACTAACTGGTATAGCGTACAACATTGCCAGTTGTTCCAGCTTTTACGAATGCTACACGCGATTCAGCCCCTGGATGGCCGTGACCGAGTTTCAAATCGGTGGTCGTCTGATCCCACGGAGCACGGTAGATGACGATCTTCGCCCACTCGTTGATTCCTTTCGTACCATCACCGACTACGGCGCAGTCGTTGCAGGGGTCTCTTTCAACGTTTCACGGTCGACTACACCCGACAACTCTGTCAATCCCGCATGGCGCGATGCGCTGATTCGCATTGTCCTCGGCACGTAAGTTTTTTCCCCGTCGTGGTCAGGCGTATGAAGCTCTGTCAAACCGCTTACCTATCTATAGAGCCTTCGATTATTACAACTATACCCATGATGTCGAGAACCAGAAACTCATGACGGAAACACTTCTCCCTCTACTTGAGGATTTAACTCCCGGCAGCGGTGCTTACCTGAACGAGGCTGACTTCAACCAGCCTGATTGGCAGTCAACATTCTACGGTGATAATTATGCCAAGCTAACCTCTATCAAGAACAAGTACGACCCCAACCACACCTTTTACGCTTTGAAGGCTGTGGGAAGTGAAGAGTGGGCGGAACAGACAGATGGAAGGCTTTGTCTCGTGTGAATAGCTTAGGACCGGATGCTGTTGTATTTCACGAACTATATAGAATCTTCAATCGCGACACCAGTTCCATGTCACTATCACGCGAGTATTCCGGGGGATTAATTGATCATTAGGGTACATCAAGCCAGTTCGTCCATCGATGCTGCGGTAAAAGGCTCTGGGTACCTCGAATCTTACAACTGGACATCATCTTCACTATAACCCCCTGGGAACTGCTGTATCCTTGACCACTCAATGCGAGATAGGGGAAAGGCATAGAGATAGTTCAAGGAGAGGTCTTGACTTGCTTCACGTTAGCATGTGACTACAGCAACCCGGTGATCACAAAAGAACCTCGATATCGTTTGTGACGAGACGTTTCCATCTCCTGTGCCGAACAGCTCTTGGGCAACCCTCCTAGTCAACAGACCGCAGATCCCAGCAGGTTGCTGGTGGATGAGGCTGCGATTGTAGTCCAAATTTGGCCCCCGGCGTCGAGATCGCTGCATTGTGTGGAGCCTAGTGAGGGCCGAAAATCTGACGGATGCCTAAGCGATGGGGCCTTCAACCCTAAGCTGACGTTGGAAGTCTAGATACATCGTAGTAAGTACCCGTAGCCAAACCCCACGTACCCGGCCGCACTTAATACATGGTCCGCGGCATAGCCACTTCCGGCTCTGTCGCTAGACCCCACGGCAACTACGTAGTTGTGGGTAGCTTAAATTGTCCAAATTCATCCTCCACTAGGCCCAAGAATAATCCTGTTCGATGGTATGTGCTGATAGCTAGTAATTAAGCAACACGCATTCCTACACTGTTTACCGCTTATAGGATCAATCGACCGACACGACCCTCCCCCGCCTTAACTTTCTGCTTCACAGCACATGCGTTATTAGGAGCAACATGACCTACCCGACCGCTGACTACGTTATCATCGGCGGCGGCACGGCCGGCCTGGTGGTGGCCAACCGCCTGTCGGAAGACCCCAACATCAATGTGCTCGTGCTGGAGGCGGGACCGGACCGCAGCTCGGACGAGCGCGTCCAGAACCCCGCGGCGTGGCCCACTCTGAGCGGGTCGGAAGTGGACTGGAAATTCAAAACGGTACCGCAGGTGTGTGTTATCTAATCTCTATCAAACTCATTCCTGTCTGTGAGTTATCGGATGCTAACTGCTGCGCGCCAGCCCAGTTTGAATAACCGCGACCAAGACTACGCTGCGGGCCGCCTGCTGGGCGGTACATCCGCCATCAACGGGCTGGCGTTTGTGCCACCCGCCCCGGCGGGCATCGACGCCTGGGAGGCGCTGGGGAACCCCGGCTGGTCCTGGCAGTCGTTGGCCCCATACTTTCACCGTAGCTTCCATATCTGCGCCGAAGCTGCCCCTGGCAATGGACCTGGTGCTGCTGCATCCGCCGCAAATGGACCCATCGAAGTTACCTATCCCGCACTGGCGGAACCGAGGAATCACACCATCATTGATGCCTGGAATAAGACCTTCGCGGACAAGGGCTACGCCTTCAGTGATACCCTGGTCCCGACTCCGACCACCGGCACCCGCCCCTACACAGCTACCATCACCACCACAGGCGTCCGCAGCGCAAGCACTCAGTATGCGGCCTCACGCTCAAACCTACGTATCCTCACCAACACCACGGTCGAGCGCATCCTCTTCGACACGACAACCACCACCATCACCGCCACCGCGGTCCTCCTCCACAATGATCCCTCTCCCATCACTGCCACTAAAGAAGTAATTCTCGCCGCGGGCGCCTTCAACACCCCCAAGCTCCTCGAACTCTCCGGCATCGGCTCTGCATCCCGGCTCTCCACGCACAGCATCCCCTGCATCATTGACAACCCCTCCGTTGGAGAAAATTTAAACAACCACCTTATGGTTGTTCTTCCCGTTCCCATCCAACCCTTGCCGGATACCGCCTCCCCAACCCCAGGTATTCAAGCCATCTCTTTCGTCCGCTCAGGTGCTGAAGCCGACCTCCTCTCGCGTCACCCTCCCCATTTCCCCCTCAACAACCTCCTCGCCAACCCATCCGAGCCCACAGCCTGCTTCTTTCTCAGCACGCTGCCAAACTCCATGGCCATCCTCGGCTTAATACCCTCTTACCCCCTCTCCCGCGGCTCCGTCCACCTCTCTTCCTCCCAGCCTACTGACAAGCCCATCATCGACCCTGACTATTTATCGCACCCCCTTGACATCAAACTCATGGCAGCGCACTTCAAGACTCTTCACTCCCTCCCAACCTGCTCCCAATTAAGTGGGATTGTAGGCTCCGCACCGGGCCCTAGCCCTGAGTCTCAGGACCCGGGTGTCGTAGAGGAGACGTTGAGGGCATCGGTCGTGGCGGCGCATCATTTCTGTGGGACGGCCATCATGGCCCCGCGGGAGAAGGGAGGTGTCGTGGATACCGAGTTGCGGGTTCATGGGACTGGTAACCTGCGAGTTGTCGATGCTAGTGTGTTCCCTACTGTGACAGCAGCGAACCCCATGTCGACGGTGTATGCCGTTGCAGAGCGGGCGGCAGAGATAATTCGGGGAAGGGACAGACCTGCCTGCGCTTAAGGGGAAGGACAGGGGCTAATTCCTTTTCTCCCTCTCACAGCAGGAAACTGGTGCTTGAACATGGCAACTTCGAATGCCCCAGTATTTGAAGACAAAGAACAGGGATTGCTTCAATCATAGACATAGGACCTGACAGATATCAGGTTATGTGTTAATCGAGCCCACGTAAGCAGCAGTGGCGAGGCATCACCTGATTCCTGCCTACATTGGCAATGGATGTCTCCACAGGACATTTACTATCAGAATTCATTATGCATGTCAGACACATGGCTCTACCCCACGTATATCACATCTGCGCCATTTACATCCCATTGGTGAGGCTCAGCTGTCTAGCTGCCAGTAGCGTGGTCAAAGAACAAAGGTTTGGTCGTACAGGCAGTGCTTAGCCAGGCTGAACTTAACCACGTAGCGAATGACAATGTGCCAGCACGGGGAAGGATGACACGATGGCACGAATAGATAGGCGCGGCTAAACCGTTAGGTTCTAGTAGGTGGATCGTCGGTGGGACGGCCCCAGTGGGGGTCTGTATTGGGGGCTTGGCCCCTTCTCATCGAGCCATTGGTAGCCGCCTGTTTAGTGTCACAGCACTAGCCCTGCCTGCTTGGGGAAAGATGTTCGGGTTTCCCCCTGTCTTGTATTTTTGTATGTGAAAGAGAACATCGAGTACCCTGCTATTTATTAGCTATCCTGTCCTTACCTATGACTCACAGAAATTACTTCTATGAAAGTTTGAAGCACTTTATTTTCTTTTCAAATAAATATTGAAAACTAACAAGTAGGATCAGCGGGATGCCTTCAAATGCTAAAGATCTGGCTGCACTCCCGCATTTTAGGAAGATGCTTATATCTCCCCGCAGGGCTGTGTATCCTACCAACAGAATCGAGAAAACTGGTAAAGGTCTAGAATATCAGTCCAGACAGCTTAGGCCACACACCACTAATAAGCTTGACATGGATAAAACCACAGTATGTACTTGTTGAACGTGGGACGCGATACTTTCAACGAATAGGGTCCATCTCAGCATTCGATGTAAATGCTTGACCATACAAAACAGGTGGAGTAGTATGATACCACTATTTTAGCTCGGATACGAACAAAGGATGTTGAGGCTTGGGGATGGGGATCCCGATCGCAACCAGGCGCAGTGGCTGCTCCAGCTCCACTCCAGCAGCCTTGTATTCCAACGGACAGTTGCTAAACACCTGTCGGCCTAAGCACTTTGTCGGGTTCATCCGGCACACAGCTGTCAGCTTTTGGTTATATAAGTGCTATCCACCAACTTGGTTTCCAGCAACACAAACATTTCCTCGTTCAATTTTCTTAAAACCATCTCAATAACTTCCATTTATTATGGGATCAATCTCCGATGAATTCCCGCCGCTAGCGGCTCTTCCCAACCTTAGTCTGCACCCCTCCATAGACGCAGAACAGCTTAATGCAGCCAAGATCGCCGACGATTGGCTCGCCTCTCTCTCAAAGAGCCTCTCTACGGGTCATCCAGATGCTATCCAAGCCCATTTCCTGGAGAAGGAATCTTGGTGGCGCGATTTCGTTTCCTTCTCATGGGACATTGCATGCCATAATGGCTCCCAGGCCATCTCCAGCTACCTCGCCAGCTCCACCAGTGGATTTTCAGACCCGAAACTCGATCAGCCTGGCGCATTACAACCGCACCTGGCTGACCTGGGTGGTATGCGCTTCATCCAGGCTGGGTTTGGGTTCACAACCAAGGCTGGCAAGGGTAGGGGTGTTCTTCGCCTGGCGAATGTGGGGCCCGAGGAGTGGAAGGCGTGGACGGTCTTTACTGTACTCGAGCGTCTGAATGGACAAGACGAGCTGGAGGCAGAGAGGGCGAAGGCGGCCGAGGTACAGTCTAGTGGATCTGGACCCCAGTCGACCACCGAGGACAGTGACCTGCAAGTCTTGGTCGTGGGAGCAGGTCAATCGGGCCTTGCTCTGGCCGCTCACCTACAAAACCTCGGCCTCAAATACCTGGTCGTCGACAAAACAGCCCGCCCTGGGGACTCATGGCGTGCCAGGTATACGTCAATCAAATCACACACCCCGAGCTACATGGACCACTTTCCGTTCTTGAAGTACCCTACCACTTGGCCGCGCTACCTCGACCAGGATCACATTGTCAAATGGATGGAGCACTACGGAGATCTTCTGGGTCTTAATGTCAGGCATGGCACGCTAGCAATCAACATTCAGTACAATCCGTCGACCAAGCGGTACTCGGTCGACCTCCAGTCCAACGACGGCAGCGTACAAAGCATCACCACTAAGCACCTCGTCCTCGCGACGGGTCTTCTCAGCGACATCCCCGTCAAGCCCTCCTTCCCCGGTGAGGACACTTTTAAGGGTCAAGTCTTCCACACATCCGCGCATCAATCCGCGAGCTTGATGCCCGACGTACAGAACAAGAAGATTACCATCATCGGTGCCGGAACAAGCGCACACGACGTCGCCCAGGACTTTGCCAGTCATGGAGCGAAATCGGTCACGATAGTGCAGCGCAGTCCTCTTTTCGTGACCTCTCTCAAGTCCGTGGAGGAGCTCCAAGTGAAGCTGTGGGATACGCCAGGTTTGAGCACCGATGATGCGGACCTTCTGGGTAACTCGTTCCCCACGGCCGTTGTTCGGACTCTCAGTGTTGGTGCGTCGCAGATGATGTCCATGTTGGATAAGGACATGTTGGACGGGCTGGAAAAGGCCGGATTAGCGGTCAAGAGAGGGGACCAGGGCGACAGTCTCGTTGACCATCAGCTGATTAAGGCGGGTCATTTCTATATTGATCAGGGCGCATGCGGGATGATTCTCGATGGTCGGATCAAGGTGCAGAGATGTCAGGAAGGCGTACGAGAATACTACCCTGGTGGAATTACCCTCGCCGATGGTACCCAGATCGAGTCGGATGTGGTTATCCTTGCGACGGGTTTCGAACGCACGGACAAGTTGATCGAGCGCATCGTGCCTAGGGAAATCTTGGACAGGGTGCCGGGCGTGATCTGTAGTTTGGATGGGAGTCAGGAACGGTTTGGTGTAAGTTCGCTACTATCCCGCATCTTTGTCCAGTCGCCAGATGGCTAACAGTTCTTGCTTATAGGTTTGGAGACCGACTGGAATGCCAGGGTTCTGGTACATGACGGGCAGCTTTTCCTGGTCGCGCCAGTTCTCTCCCGTCCTGGCTCTGCAGATTGCTGCTGTCGAGTGGGGACTGAACAAGGAGAATCAGGGATGAACCAGAATAAGGAATCCTGTTGATCAGTTATAATAGCATATCTTCATAAACACTATAGAACCGTTCTTAGTAGATGTCACTTTATCTATACCAGTTAAGGTTTATATATCGACTGAGTACTCGATAAACTATCAACAATGTACAGCAATACATGAGGTGCAGTAGCGTGATATTTGAAAATATCATACAAATAATCCAAGGGACCAAATTCATCTACTATTAGATATGTGCCAGGCCTCTTCACTCCCCAAATAGAAAAATTCTCCCATCCTAAACAGATGATGTGTCCAACAAGTGCCAAAAAGAGGTCATGCCACGCTGCAAATAGGCATAAGAAGCATAATCATATGCTTTATTAGGGTTCTTACGCACACCCCTGTCTCCATAATGCGACTCAGCACAGCCCCGGAAAATTATCAGTCAGGTACTCACTAGATAGTAGGGCTGCCCTACACTCAAGTACTCACTCCGAGTCACTTACTCTACGCGACAATACTTCCTCGGTACTTCTTATTCTATCGAGAGTCTTCAATCGCCACTTTAAGGCCTCTTCGCGCTGTCTCGTCTTTGGGCGGCTCATATCCTGCAGAAGTACGGATACATTTTCCGGTTGGTACCTTGTTCTCTCCCATTTGCTATGCTATGGTCGGTTATTGTTGCGTTTCTTTCATCTTGTTGAACTTATTACATTCTCTCTTCTTCGAAATTCATAGTTTCCTTCCGGCATTCTAATTTGGCAACTAATAGCTGACCTAATTCTGCGGCAAACGGACATATTTCGCTGCAGGAAAGGGTACTTAGATGATAAACCACGTGGTATTCTGCATGCTAAGACCAGGCTGAATTAAGCTCACATCTTGTCCTACTGTAAGGCTGCGAGCGTGATCTTTTTCATAAAAAGTAATTTCCTGCATAATGGTAATAGGACTCGAGTGAGCACTGAACGATTGCAGGTCTATCTATAGACTTGATGAGAAGAGGGATAGCAAAGTAATAACAAGAAACGATGCTCTTCTGTGGGAGACGAAAGAGGGAAATTCGGAATGAATACTAGATCCTTCCTCAATCCTCCTGTCATTGATTTTGTTACTCTCTACCATATCACTGAAAGTAGAATCACTCATTGTAGTGATCATAATGGCAGTTTCCGAAAGGTAACCTAGGTTGTATCCATTACCTACTCGTTTTCCATATAACCTCCTCAGGATTCAATCATCCATCAGCCTGCCTGCATTCAGTGTAGCATTGTGCAAAAAGTACGAGTCAGGATAGCTCGGAGAATGTATCCAGCATCGAACTATCCGAGTCCATGACGATTATACCAGAAGGGGATCGAACGGATAATTTTTGTGACGGCATGACGTTCAGTGGATCCCGCAAGGAACACCACTGACTCCACCTTCTTCCACTCACATCATTATCTCACAGTCCCTGGCATCCCAGCTCCGGTAACTCAATTTGTAGTTGTGGCTGTCGAACCGTAGCATTTCCAAACTTTGCCCCTGTTGCATTCCGCGGAGAATTACCCGAACCCAAACTTTATCTCCTAGGGCTTGACTTGCTTAATAAGGTCCAAGGCATGCAATCTGCATGCCAGAACACTAGTAGATAGTAGATAGTAAGTACGAGATGCTACATACCAAGCGAAGAGTCAATGATTCTAAGACACAACGGGTGTTTTATTTCAGCTCGCCTCAAAATGTTACAATAATGTTGCTCCAAACCTATCTAATATAAACCCCATCATCTCTACTCCCCTTTCTTCGCACCTATCAATCATCTACTGCTTAAGCTCAAGCACAAGGTTAGAGCAACCATAACCTTAGAGCTTACTGTCTCTTTAAAATCTACATCTACCCATACAACCAAAATGAAACCCATCCTCTTCGCCACCACCACCACCACCCTCCTCTTCGCCCTCACCTGCCACGCCGCACCCAACTTCCGCATCGGCTATCGCGGTGGAACCGAGTACGCCCTCCCGATATTAGACGCGGCAAACGCCAACGAAACCATAGCCTTCAGCAACAACATATACGGCCTCCCCAACCTGGATGAGTGGGAATCCATCAACACCAATCAAGGATTCTTGATTCGCAATGCATTCTTGGGGACTTACATTAGCTGCAGCGGGCAGTCGACAAGCTGCAGTCTTTCTACTGAGGATGACGGAACCTTCTTTACATCAATCCAGTCGGAAAACATTGATGGAGTAGACTACTATCATCTTTTCGCTACGATTGAAGATATTGATGGAGGAAATATGTGGGTTCTTGAAGGTGGGAAATATCTCCACATCGGTGTGTTTGACGATCAAAATGAATTGCAGGAGATTTCGCTTGTGCAGGATTAATTGGAGTATTAAAAGTTTATAAAGTTATACATGTTTTTGGTCCTTCTGCTGAGCCGTACATACGTACATACATACATGTCTGAGGTGGCTCAGAACAAGAATTCAGAATCATGTTGCGCTACGTATTATGACGTTGTGTTAATTACTATTTAGTGCTGAAACTCCATCCAAGGACTGTAATCTGATAGGCCATTGGCTGGTGTGAAGTTTGGCTTCACAATAACTCTTTGCTTTCATTTACATGGATAGTATATAATTCATTAAGTTGTGAACTAGAGATCGTCATATCTGGACTCAGTCATTTTAGGAGCAGTATTCTCTTTAGACCATCGAGGCGATCTGACCTACATTATTGCACAGTGAAACTACCGCTTCAATTTGGCTGGTTAGGTTGTTGTACTGGAATGCAGGATGCCGAATCTTATGGTTATTACATGCCCGTCTGCCTTACTGCGTGAGACAATTTAACTTTTGAGTTTTTAGGGGGTATTCAATCAGCTATGGGTTTACTGTCTCTTCCTAGATGTCCCCCTTTACTATTTCATCTACTTTCGAATTAGACCACTCCGCATGCGCTTGTTTATAGTGGACTTGGCTTGAGCGTGGAGTTTGGATCAGCGCATGTCATGAATAAACGGTGGGTTTAGAGACATTATCAACTACGATTTCTCTGATCTCCGTTTTGATGGTCCTGAAGTTCGATTCTTATCATTTCAAAGACGTATATGGGATTTCCTCTGATACGTGTTCCATTTTCCGAATTCGTTGAAGATCTCATTGAATCCGGATCCGACACCACTAATGTAGAACGCAGTTCAACTGCAATATCGCCGTGGCCACCGAAAGAATATACAACCCATCCCCATAACCATATCAGACCAAGGAAACCCGTTTATTCCTTCCTTTCATTCCATCCATGTCACGATTTTCCAATCAGAAACTGCTGTGCAATTGTCCATAGAGCACTCGGTGTGAAGAGAAGCACAAGACAACGCTATCAGACTCTTCAAGTGAGACCCATTTACTTGGGAGTATCTGGGCGCTGTCCCATGCCAGAAAACTCTGCACTCATCTGGCTGGTACTCATGAGTTCCTCGTCATCAGAAGACTTCGACTCCTCCTTGATGGTACTGTTTCCAAGCTCCATATCGTCTTCTTCCTTCTTCACGGCGACTTTGCCTTCGGCCGGAGTGGGAGTAGTGGCGCCTCCAGATTTTCTATTAAGAAGTAATACAATCAGCAACATGAACAGGCGCAAGGGATTAAAACTACCTACGGAGCCTCTGTCTTCACAGCCTTCGGCGCAGAGCGAGGGGTCTTCGGGGTCTTCGGGGTCGCTGCCGTCTTCTGACGCTTCCCCTTGGAAGGAGTCGGAGTAGTCTCGATAGCACCAGTGTTGTCATCATCGGCGACAGCCTTGTCTTTGCCACGCTTTGCGGGCGTTTTCTTGGGAGTGGCAGTGGTGGAAGCGGATTCCTTTGCAGGACTGATAGAGGTACCAGCTTCTTGATCGGCCGGGTTATTATGGATATCGAAAAGCCTACGCTTGGCCTTGTGATAGAGAGTACTGGCAGATTGAGCGTTCTTGTAGCCTCCCTTGACGGCCATCTTATCAAAGTCAACCTGCAGTTGTTGTCAGAGTTTCTCCATAGCTGGAAGATAAGGGTATATACTTTGCCAGATTTATCGGAACTCAGCACACCAAGAATGATCATCCGCGCTTCGGCCATACTCAGCCCCAGAAGGGTTTCGGGTTGGTTGGGCTTTAGTGCAGACATGATGATGTGCGGGAAGTAGTGGAGGATTGAATGTGATGGTAGGAGCGACTTAGGGTGAAGTTAGGAATGGTAAAGAAGAAGTAAGGGAAATAGTGAGATCAGAGGTGAGAGTTGGCTGCGTGTAGATGATGAACAGGTAAAGACCTTGGCAAGGAAAGAACTGTGTTGCCACCGAATCAAATTGTGCAAGAGCAGAGATAGACCTGAGTTACAGAGCTGTGAATGAGCTGAAGGCAACCCGCTTTGCTGGCTACCGAAGCAAACAGCGAAAACACAGACTTGGGCCATTGACAGCGATCGTGTACCGTCAAAGTTCCTACTCTGCTGGTTGGTATCGAACATGTTCAGTGAATCTCTCAGTTCTGTTTCTTCAAGCCATTGTTCTGGATTTTCTTGAACACGTCATCCCACAAGGTAGGAAAGTAGTTTGGAGACTCGGTCGAGCGCTGGGCCCTCACATCCGTGTAAAAGTGTTGAGGGGTTTTGCCTGCCCACCAAGGAGAGGGCGCGGGCTTTGAATTGGTAAAGGTCACAGGCCGGAGAAAAGACTTGTTGAGAACCAAGTCACCCAGTCTGACCTCTGTCTGCTGAGGCAACGAACTTGAACGAATGGTAGTCATGTACAAGGTGGCCGTGGGCGGCAGGTTCTTCACATATTCAATCATTGTCTCGCGAGAGCGGCGGGCAAAGGCGGGAATGGCAACGTGCACATAGACGACAAACGGGGCCGTGGTATAGAGGATGAAGATCATCGGAAGAGTACCGCCAATTGCAACTATCCAAGGGTCAGCAGGAGTATATCGGACAGGCGACCGTGCATACTTACTTGCAGGGGCGAGGTACCATGGATGCTCATCCGATGATGCGAATGCTGGAGCAAGAAGGAAACAGGAAACTCCAAATATTAAGAGAGAAACGAGCTTCAATGTTCCTACCACAGCTGTCCTCCCTTTTCCGCTATAATACACCACGACCTTCTCCGGTGGCCCTACAAATATCGAATCAGCACGATTGTCTCCTTATCCTGGCAACTTAGCGGGGGAGCTATACCTTTGCGAAACGTCAATTTAGCATGTTTGGTAGGTGACGCCTGTGGGTTCCGGGGTGCAATAGGCTCCTTTCGCTTGATGAAAGGAGCGCTGGGCTTCGGCGGAGGAACAGGGTTCTGAGTTGTCTTGAATCGAGCAAATAGCTTGCTGTTGAGGTCTCTCCGCACGCTCCGGGGAAGTGCGGAGCGCAATTGCGCGCTCAGCAGGATGACAGGACGCATTGAGTAGTTTGGCGAGGGGGGGCCTTATGAGTTCGCGCTGAACTTCCGGCGGTATATTCGCGCCAGTTGGGAGGTCAAAAGAGTTGAACGAGCAATGTGAAGACTGACTTCAGTGCGAAAGGATGGCCGGGTGACTTTTTTCAAGGAAATTGGAGAAGCTCCGCAACGTGATCCGGCTTGGCGGTCGGAGGTTCGATTGACGGGCCCGACAATAGATTGGAATAGACTTGAACCTTCCCCAATCACCATCACTTCCTCAACAAACCACCCCCTGGCTTTACTAGTCGGCATCGTCACCATCCTCCTGCATTGGAGGCTGTTTAGACGCTATCCATATCCTTTGCGATGAAGACGCGCTGACCCCAGTCGCTCCGCTATTCCGATGTATTCAGCTTATCGTGGCCTTCTGGCCCCCTTGCTCTCCATCTACATCACCGTCCTCTTCCTAATCGCTCCAGGCAACGCATACCAGGCCGTCTCGGATCAGACACTAGAATCCCTTCCCCGCCCGAACGATGATTTTGATATTCATACTGGCGCCATCTTGTCCCCGATCCTGAGGCCTCGTGTGTCTGGGACCTCCGGATCGACAGCCGTGCTGAATCACTTCGTCGACTTCTTCCGGAACTCGCTCCCTGACTGGAAAATTGACTTTCAAAACTCGACATCAAAGACACCCGTGTCGAATGGAAAAGATGTGCCGTTTGTGAACTTGATCGCATCCCGTGACCCCCCGTGGGCGGCCCCCGGCGACGTTGGGCGACTTACTTTGGTCGCCCATTACGACAGTAAATACGAACCGGAAGGATTCATTGGGGCTATTGACAGTGCAGCGCCTTGTGCCATGATTATGCATGCTATGAGGAGCATCGATGCAGCCCTGACAAAGAAGTGGGAGGCCATGCAGGCACAGGGCGAAACAAATCCGTTGGATGAGCAGACGGGCATTCAAGTGCTTTTCTTGGACGGTGAGGAGGCCTTCAAGTATTGGACCGACACCGATTCCCTCTACGGTGCTCGCTCGCTCGCCGAACAATGGGATTCAGATGTCCACCCAGCCATGTCCATCTATAAGACTCCTCTCGCTTCGATATCCCTCTTTGTCCTCCTGGATCTGCTAGGTTCGAAAGATCCAACCATTCAGTCATTCTTCCCTACTACACACTGGGCCTACAAGAAATTAGCTGCACTTGAGCGCCGTCTGCGACGGCTCAACCAGCTCAAGTCCGCCGGCAATGATCCCGATCGACAGCGGCTGTGGTTCACCCATGCCTCCAAAAGCGAGCACGAGATTCCTTACTATTCCGGTATACAGGATGACCATATCCCCTTCATGAAGCGCGGAGTAGAGATCCTCCATGTAATCGATGCGGGTCCCCATGGGTTCCCGCCAGTCTGGCATCGCATTGAGGACGATGGCGAACATTTGGACCTGGCGACAGTAGAGGACTGGAGCTTGTTGGTTACCGCATTTGCGGCAGAGTGGATGGAGCTGGAGGGCTTCATGCCGGGATCTGAGCAGGAATCTCGAGAAGGTGCCCATGGAAGGAACAAGCGCACTGGCTACGATGTCAAGACTGAACTGTAAGCATTGTCTGAATATATTTACATTTTCTACTGGCCATTGCGGGCCTCGATGCTCTATGTACATTTTTTGCGCGATATATTTATGAGCTGTGCTGATGCCTGATTGCTTGCATAGCTCATGAATGGAAACACTCGGCCATCCCGCCGCGCATGGCCCTTCCAGAACGGCTTTTGGTACAGCACCACCACTCTTTCGCAACAACGAGAAAGCAAATCACATCAAATTCCCTAGCATAAAACCAGTCATCTCTGCGAGCCCCCAAACCGGCTGGAGCACACTGCGCAGGATGGCTGGACCTGGGCATACTCCACGTAGTCCCCAGGCGAGGCCGAAAGCGACCCCGCCTGCCACAAATTTCCAGTCAATATCTGCTACAGTCGCAGTGGGAAGTCTCCATTGTGCCGCCAGAGTGGGTGTGGACCGTTCCGCCTTGTTATCGGTCTGCTGCCCCGGTTTGGTCGACAAGAAGGTTATCAGTGACGGGCCGATTCCGAAGAGGATTATGAGTGCTAGTGATGGATCGAATCGCGAAGGGTCAGATAGGAAGGCAAAGAACCGCAGGACCTTGGCTGGGTCAGCCATCCCAGAGAACAACAGTCCCATGCCAAATTCCAGACCCGCTAAATACGAGAATATAGTTCTTGAGCGCTCGGATCTCTCGAGTGTACGGGGGACAACGACAAAGTTCATCACGGATGTAACTACTGTGGTGGTGAGCATGACGGCGAGCTCCGCAGTCGATGGATAGACGGGCATGTAGCAGGGTGTTCCACCGGCACACGGAGGGATGTTGGAGCCGCCAGCGAAGAAATTGGCTGTGAGTAGGGCGGTGGTGAAAAAGACAGCGGTAGCAATGAACGAGCGTGGCGACAATCGAGAAATACCACAGAGCATGTGGCCGGACGTGCAACCTCGACCATTCTATCCCATAATACCATCAGCACCTACAGCTGTCTTTTCTCGAGAGGGAACTCAGCTTCAATTACCTTTGTACCCCATCCCAGCAGAAACCCATGGCCTACGGTCAAGAGCCACGACCCCCAAGAACTTGGTGCAGTGGGATATGATGGGATAGCAGACGGCAAGAAAAGAGCGACGGGGACAACACTCGACACTAGACCAGCAATGAGAGCCACACTATCCCTCGTCGGATTCAAAAGAGCTCCCGACAGGAGCGAGGATATGCCAAAAACCGCCCCATTGTGCAACAGCAATCCCGTAGAGCCCTGGAAGAGCATCAACGCCCCGAACGTGGTATGCACTGGCGTGAACATATTGTGGCTATACAGAGAATAGTAGGAGTAGGTGATCGAAGATGAAGAATACCTTCATCCTATAAGCAATAAATAAGATCAAGGCGAAAATCGAGCCATTAGAAAGGATCCCAGTCCAGCAACATCACAATGCGAAATGTACGGGACAAGGAAATTGTAACGGCGACTTCCTTCACCGATTTTGAAGTGATCAAAGAGGCCGAGCGAGTGAGTGGCAGTTCGGGGACCACACATTCCAATCACATACTGTGACCGAACTGGTCCCCGAAACCAGAACCAGAAACTTGAAGGGCCGATTTGGGCGGGAGTCCCCGAGTGAGTGAGTCTCAACCATTTACTTTTCCCTCCTCTCATTGAGAATTTCTAAAGAAGCTTTGGTGTTGCGGATTGCAGCACATGGCTATATAAATGTATAAATTCATTGTCTATATCAGGTCATCATTAATGCAGGGATGGTATATTAAATTCTAATCCTAGCTGCAGACATCACCCTCGTGGACCAGCGGTTCCTTCAGACGGTCGGGGAGAGGATGTGCAGGGGAAACAAGACGATCGAAGGGGAATGGAAGGATGGAAATGCCGGGGATTCGTTGATTAGTGCAGATTTTAGCTGGCTTGGTCCCCGACCCGGTCGCTGACTATCTTCACAGAACCATGGTTCAGTCCATCAGTGGTCGAGTAGATCGATGGGATGAGGCAATGAGTGGGTGTACATTGATTTTGTGGTGAGGATTTATTTGGAATTGGATATTATTTGGGGTTGATTGATTTGTTATTTGTTTGGAGAATTTCCCTTTTGTTATATTTATATCATTATGGGGAGAAGTGATGGGATGGACATGGTGCTTGACATTGGTTGTGCACTGTCTAGTATCTACCCTTTCTTTAGTATAGGGGTCGACATCAAAGTTGCATACCACACTATGGAGATGATCCTAGTACTGATCGTAACATGAGAGATATCTGGATCTTACAATGATGTACACTGGTTGTTCCTATAGTACTTAACCCTCCCAACCTAAAGCTGAAGACACATTCCATTGCTCCAGAATCCAATCAAGCTATGCCTATCACCTGCCCCAAACAAACTCAATCCCAGAGTACAGAAATTAAACCACCCCTTTCTTCGCAAATAGCCCTCAGAATGAACCATCACCGCCACCACCACCGCTCCCGACGCATTCAACATCCACAGATCCCGATCCGGTGATCGTGATCCATAAACCCCCCTGTACAGTGTACACCGACTAAACACATCGGCGACCTCAAGCGCAATAACACCCCCTACTACGTTGTATCCCGGGGTCCATATCAAGTACTGATGCAATCCGGGCCTTCTCCGAGAACCACACCATCGCCGTTAATTAAATCCGTCTCGGTCTCTTGGCTGCAGTGCATGCATGCATGCATGCATACATAGCCCGAGTGTCTGCAGATCGGCTATCCCGCTCACTCAATCACTATTTACCTGATCTGTAGATTAGTTACTTCTATTGAATGCATGCTTTGTTGTCTGTACTGTTTGCCATAGGCAGTGTTGATTTGGCATTGCCGGTTATGGTTAATGCAGCACATGTTACATCTACGGCCATCCCAGGTTTTCGCCTATTCACCGTCGCGTAGCTTCTTGTAGCATAATATCCTGCCTCAGCAGCATCAATTGCTCGCATGGCTTAGTTGGTAAAGCGCATGACTAGTAATCATGAGATCCTCGGTTCGAATCCGAGTGCGAGCATTTTTTGTTTTTCCCTCCCCCGGGGAGGTTGGGGGGAGGGGGGGGGGGGGGGGGGTTTCTTTTTTTTTTTTTTTTTTTTTTTTTTTTTTTTTTTTTTTTTTTTGTCTTCTCCGTCGCCTACGCTTTGTCTTTCTTTACTTATGTAGTGTGTGAGAGAATCGATGTTGCACAAATTTGATTAAAATCAATGGGTTTTGTCTGGTTTATGCCTTTGGGAACGGCGTGTGGGTAATAGCTGCTTTCTCTAAGGTATCAATTTGTGGGATGTCAAATATTCTGTAGTATACTATGAATGATTGTTCATAAATTCCTGCTTTGTTCTATGGGACTGGTGGGGGAGTTACTATTAGTAGGTACTGATCGATCTCCAGGGATGTCTCAATGGCCAATTGCTAAATCTCACTGGCCTGCACTATGTGGTTGTCAGTTTCGGGTTATGGGTCTTCATTCCTATTGATGGACGAGATCATGGCAGTCGCTTCTATATTCTAGAACTAGATGCTCGTAGATTACATCTCTTCTACTGGGCATCCACCTGCGCTTGACACTACCTGTGATGATCCATATACTCTCCTAGTATCGCACTCACTCCCCCTTGACCTCGGCCAAATTCTCCTTCCACCAGCTCTCTTCCACCTTCTTAGCCTGCAAGCCATTCTCCGCCTTGCGAGGGTACCCATGTCCCTCACCCTCGAAGATCACCAACTTGGCCACCCCACCGCTGCGCTGAACATCATCAGCCATTGCCTGCGCCTGGTTCAACGGGACGATCTCATCCGCTGTTCCCTGCAACAGCAACAGCTTGGCCTTGATTACATCCGCATGGAACCTGGGACTCCGCTCGCGGTACACCTTCCGCTTCTCCTCTTCTGTCTCGGGCACCTTATCATCGAACAAGAGCCGGAAAGCATAGTGGCTCTCAAACTTGTGTGTTTCGGCCACGAGGGCTTCAACGTCACTAATACCAGAGACGCTGACCGCAGCGGTAAACAGAGTCGGGAACATGCAGATTCCCTGGAGGGTGGCGTATCCACCGGAACTCACGCCAGTGATGCCAATGCGGGATGGGTGTACCTTGCCTTCGGAGATTAGGTACCGGGCGCAGTCTGCGGCGTCGTGCACGTCGAGTACGCCCCAACTTCCGTTTAGGAGCTTGCGGTAGGCGCGTCCGTACCCGGAGGAGCCGGCGTAGTTGAGGAGGGCAACGGCATATCCGCGTGTGGTGTAGTACTGCCACATCATGCTAAGTCCGGGGTCGGTGTGGATGGTGGGGCCGCCGTGGATGGTGATGATGAGTGGAGGAAGCTCGCCTGGAGCACTGCTGTACTTGGGGTTCGTGGGAGGGAGGAAAAAGGCATGTGAGAGGGTGTTAGGGTGGGTGGAGATGGTGCGCGGGAATGAAATGTGTTGAGCGCGAGAGAAGTAGGTGTCGGAGATGGTGACAGACGAGGAGGAGCGGAGGACTGTTGGTACGGAGGCATCGCTGGAGGTGATAGAGATGTGGTAGACAGTGCTGGGGAAAGTCGGAGTGCTGGCAATGACGGCAATGCTGGTAGGAGATGTCAGAGCCACAGCGCTGTGTTGGATGCCCGTGAGCGATGCGATGTGGGCAGGGAAGGTGTAGGTGTTCTTCTCGAGATCGATGATGACGAGACGCTCTGTTGCGTTTTGTGTCCAGGCCGCGACAATCGTGTTGGCGTTTGGAAGAACATATGTGCAACTGTATCGTGTTAGATGTGTGCTATGTGAGCAAAAGGGTAAGAGAGTCATACGATCCCAGGAGCCATTCTGGATGAGCAAACTCGCCCTTCTCCAGGCCTTCAATAACGATAGCGCGGGGCGCATCACTTGCATCCGGGCTCCAGTGATAAAACTGCCAATATCCAGTGCGATCCGACACAAAGAACAAAGTTCCGTCCGGTCCCCATCTCGGCTGCAAAATACTTTCTTCGTCGCCATTTCCTGCCAATTTTACGGGCGTTCCAACCTTCTCATCCTTCCAAGCCGCAGAATACAACTCGGTCCCCGTCCATGGCATCTCGGGATGGTTCCACTGGAACCAGGACACTCTATCACCAGTAGGACTGAATGTGGGATGCGAGTAGAAGTCCGCTCCCGTCGCTGCAACCTCCACCTTTTTCTTCTCAGTATTGATTACAACAAGCTCGTTAATCACCTCCTTGCCGTGATGATCTTCCCTGATGGCAAAAACCAGCTCCGGTCTCTTGGGGTGCGAATTGAACGCAGCGTACCAGATCTTTTCATCCGGCTCCACGGCGGCTGTTACATCGCAGGTTGCAGGATCCAAAATATACACCCCGTGAGTCTTCCAATCTGCGAAAATGACCTTCCCATCTGACGTGGTGTTGAAGGCCGCGCCGCCGTAGCCGTGGACGGCGGTGCGTGCACTGTACGCAGCTGGTAGAACGTCACGGGGCTGGTTGTTGCGCCATTCGACGATACAATTGCGACCTTCTTCGGCAGGGCGGCCTTCGTTTACGTAGATGATACCATCCGCCTGAGGAGAAAGGTCAATTTAATTCGGCTGTAGAGGGAAAGGGAATGTACCGTGGCGGCGATGCCGGCGAAACTGATTCCTTTTGACGTCAGGGTTGCGGCTGTGATGGGACTGTCCCATGTGCCGAAGGGAGCTGTCTGAGGTTCTGCGGAGGAAGCCATTTGGTTGAGTTGAATTATACGAAGCGTGTTAGAAAGAAAGTGAATGGATAGTTAATTTTGGAGGGCGTAAAAAGAATGTTGGAAGAGGACAGATGAGGGGGTTAAAGTAGTGCAATAGCCAGGTACCGAGTGAAAATTAGCAGGGAGGGGAACTAAGCACAAGCATTGATTGTGACATCCACCAGCTAGATTAATTCCGTGGTGTTCCCGCTATCCGAATGGCTTCGATAAGCCCGTGCCAATTCCATGGGGAATAGTGCTTACGCACTAACATGCACTGGTCAGCCCATGCCCCTCTTAACCCCATTTAGTGCGAACTGGTCTGTGTTCCGGTTAAGGCTGTGCCTGGATGTGAACCATACAATGTAAATCAGAGATATATCCTGTATTTTATAGTACCTCTTTTCACAGTTTCACTGAGCCAACTACATCTCGCTCTAGCCTCATTGAATTGACCAGATGTGGCCCTAATTCCGACAGCTTCGTCACTCCCAAAAATACCATGTTCATCTCGATTTCCTGCCGCAAGATTTGAATGGCCCGACGGGTTCCGTCGGCTCCATAACCTGCTGCCAGACTGAACAGGAATGGTCGTCCAAGCCCAACAGCGGTTGCTCCTAATGCAAGGGCCTTCAGGACATCTGTTCCACGTCGGATGCCTCCGTCGATGAAGATATGCATGTTACTTTGGATAAGGTGTGGTGCGTATCGTCGGATTTCGAGTAAAGTAACAAGTGGAGGCTGAGCGCTGTTGAGTGTGAGCTTATGAAATACATATTTGGGGCTAGAGTTCCACATACGTATCTTGAGACCTTCCACCATGGTTGGACAGGACTATTCCCCGTACTCCATGTTGATATGCCAAAACTGCATCTTCCACACACTGGATACCTTTAATTACAACCGGCAGATCGGTAAGTCCGCGGATCCATTTGAGAATCTCCCAGTCAATGTACGGCGAGATGGAGCTGGCCATGGTCTTTGCGACACCTTGTCCTTTGGCGGAAGAGTCGCGTGCCTGTAGATGTCAGCATCGCTCTCGAGCTATTCATAGTACGTAATTACCTGAACCTCAAGATTCAATCTCTCATCCATCTCCCGCTTCCCAACAACAGGGGAGTCGACTGTGATCCAAATACCACTAGCACCTGCTTTCACAGCTCGTCGGACTGTCTCCTCCGACTTCTTTATGTCTTTGTTGACGTACACCTGCTGGAAGAGCGGCTGATTGGGGTGAATGCCAGCCGCTCGCACAGCATCAATGGACATGCTAGAGCCATTCGCCAGTACCTGCGCCAATCCTTCCTCGCCTGCTGCGACAGCCATTGCACATTCTCCGTCCGGATGAGCAAATTTAGCAATTCCACACGGGCTCATGTAGACTGGCAACGAGACAGACTGGCCCAGAATCGAGGTGGCCGTGTCTACGCTGCGAATGCTGCGGAGAATTCGAGGACGGAAGGACAACCTATGGTAAGCTTCTTGACCTTCGCGTTTGCTGATCTCATCGTCGGCTCCGGAGTAATAATATGCCCATGCGTGAGGGGGGAGATGTTGCTGGGCTACCTTCTCGAAGTCATTTAGGTTTATGATACTGCTTAATGGAGGCGGAAGCTTTTCTTCTGCTGTTGCCGATGTCTTGGGAAGTGGTCTGGATGCTTTCACGAGAGTGTCTGGTTGGACAATGCCTTTGAGTGCCGATGGTGGCAGAGCTTGCGAGAGGACGTCTTTATCGTGGACTGAATCGAAGTCTGCCGTACCGTCTTTGCCTGCGCAGCGAAGAATTACCTGTGCACCACCCGGATGCTCATCGAGGAATTCTGGCGGTGTGAGTAGTTGGCGATGATACCCCCAATTGGACTTACCAGTGACATCGTAAACGGAACCATGAATAGCTACCCAACACGACTCGCGTGTCGAGTGCTTCTCAACCTCCTCTCGAGTCAGTATCGACATTTCGCCTTCAATAGTGACTCAATGTCAAGAAGAAAGAACAGATGTCAAATGCGGAGAAAATGGTCTCGCCAAGTCTAACCCCAACCCCGGATTAGCCGGTCAAAATGCGGAGAAATATCCGCTGCGGGTGATGCCGATCCCCCACGCTAACCTTGACCCCAGTCTTGGCTTGGGGGTTGTATACATCGGTCCTGCGAGTATGGATCTCCTCGTCTCATTCCTACTCCGCAAGAGCAGTCACCATGGCCACGGAACACCCAGAAGATGCTCACAAGCGGTCCCCTTCGCATGTCGAGGACATCCATCACCCCGGCAAAGTCAGCCATGGAGATACGGCACTCGCCCTCCTTGCAGATGGCGGTGAACTGGAATCAGCTGAGCCTGAGGAATTGAAGAAACTAGTGCGCAAGATAGACTGGGTCATCCTACCGTTTCTCTCAGTCTGCTATGCGTTTTACTACGTGAGTGTGCAGATTCCTCGGATGGGATCTTCTGACACGGACAGATTGACAAAACTACACTGTCGTATGCAGCAATCTTTGGAATCAAGGAGGATCTAAAACTGACGGGCGAGCAATACTCATGGCTGTCGTCTGTCTTCTACTTTGGCTTCCTTGTCTGGGCGCTGCCTACCAACTTTCTCCTCCAGCGCTTCCCTGTGGGCAAGTACCTAGGCGTGAATATCTTCCTATGGGGATTCTTTCTGATGCTACAGGGTGAGTACACTGCAGATTAATTGATCGTAAGTCTAACATTAGCAGCTGTGGCAAAGAACTTCACTCAGCTGGCTGTTCTGCGGGTGATATCTGGGGCCGCTGAAGCATGCAGGTAAGTGCTATACACAGTATGCAAGACATAGTAGCTAATGATCCAGTGATCCCGCCTTCATGCTCATTACCAGCATGTGGTACACGCGACGCGAGCAGCCCATCCGCATCGGAATCTGGTACACGGCAAATGGAGCCGGAATTGCCCTAGGTGGTCTTCTGGGTTATGGCATCGGGCAGATCAATGGTGCCCTCGCCTCCTGGAAGTACGAATTTCTGATCATCGGCGCACTCTGTGCATTCTGGGGTATCCTCATCACAATCTTCCTTCCCGACTCCCCCGTCAATGCCCGTACTTTCTCCACTCGAGAAAGGCGACTAACCATCGAGCGACTTCGCGACAATCAAACCGGTGTTGAAAACAAAACTCTCAAGCCAACACAAGTTCTCGAAGCCCTCCTCGACTGGAAAGTCTGGGTATTTCTATTGCTAGGTCTATCCGGTAACATTCCCAATGGAGGTATCTCCAACTTTGGCACTCTGATCATTCAAGGATTTGGTTTTTCAACACGTACGTTTCCTCTACTTTTCTGGCAATATGTATATTCATCCCACCACTCACTGAAAACACCAATTACATAGTGGTAACAACCCTAATGCAAATCCCCTACGGTGCCTTCACCTCCCTGATGATCATCATCGCCGTCTTCATCAACGACCGCCTCCCCCCCAACAACCGCTGCCTAACCGCTATCTTCTTCCTCCTCCCCAACCTCGCCGGCTCCTTCGGTCTCGCCTTCCTCCCAGCCACTAACCAAGTCGGCCGTCTAATCTGCTATTACCTGACAGGCTCATACAACGCCTCTTTCGTGCTCATCCTGTCCATCCTAACGGGAAATATCGCAGGCCATACCAAGAAGGTCGTCACCAATGCGATGATCTTCCTCGGCGTGTGTGCGGGTAACATTGCAGGGCCGTTCTTCTATCGCTCTGAGCAGGCGCCGCGGTATACCTTGGGTATTTGGTCGATGATTGTGGCGAATTTTATTGAGATTGCGCTGATTGGGGTGCTAAGGGTTGTGTTGGCGTGGGAGAATCGGAGCAGGGATAAGATGAGGATGAGGGAGGATGGGGATGTGGTTGGGGTTGGCAGTGGGGATGGGGATGATGTGGTGGCATTTGGGGATTTGACTGATAAGGAGAATTTGAATTTCCGGTATGTTTATTAGGTGGGAGAAATATCTGCGGGATTTTGGTATGTTAGTATGGATAGATACGGGTTTGGTTAAGGGCTTATGGAATTCATGATGAGTGAAGAGGAGGGATATGTTTAAACATCTTATTGACAACTGCACTTGACATGTCTAGTAATATCTACACTTACCTGATGGAACTTTGTTCCTACTAGTTATATTTCTCGTAAAAGACCATCTTCCATCATGAGTGCGACACCTACGAAACTCGCCGTCTAGAAGGTCCACCCACATTCAGTAGCTCAAACCTCCTCCCAGCCCGAAAACGAGTAAACCGCGATTGCATAGAAGCCAGTACCTCATAGTCACGTCTATATGAGCCAGCCGCAATCCACGTAAACAGGTACCAACGCCATCGAGCAAACAATCCCCAACTCTGAGGCATGATAAAATTATACATGGACGCATACTCAAAGTAAATAGGATAAAACCCCGCAAGATCCCAATCAAGCAGCCAAAGCTCCCCAGAGGGCGAGAGAAGAAGATTCCGCGGCGCCAGATCATGATGTGTCAAGACGAATGGACCCATAGCGGAAGGGATATATGCAGTACCAGTGAGAACTTCACCTCGCTTTCCGGTTTCTATTGCCGTTCTCATGCCTCTGAAGTTGCCCCAGAAGTGGAGATAGCGAGAGAGCTCGGGTGGTCCGGAGCGGGGCGGGAGGCCGTAGAGATCATCTAGCCAGAAGGATGTGCATTGACCGGTTGCGAGGGATCCGATGGTAGGTGAAGTGAGTGACCTGAGGGTGTTTATGATGCGACGGAGTTGGAGATATATCTTGGAGAGAGGGAAAATACTCGACTTCTTGGAGATGAGTCTGCAGAGGGTGATGAAACAATGTGCTGGATGAGTTCTGCATCGGAGTAGCTTTGGAGTAGATCATCGCGAAATTCTGTATCCATAATTCAAAGTGTGACTAGAGCACGAATAATTAAGAGAGATGAATCCAGGGAGTATAGCGATAAGGTCCAGGAACGCGGAGTCTATAATAGGCTTAGTGTGGCGGGTGGAGACATTGACTGCGGAAGTCGAAGCTAGTTCGAAGCTAGACCCATATCTGATCAGTCTATCAGTAGAACCTGTGCTGGGAGAAGCCACCAGCTGGGCTTTCGACCGCATCCTGTCCGGCGAGACCAATTTCAAGGGATACCTGCTCAAGCATTTCCTGTATGCTCAGATTTTGACACCCCTAAAAGGTCGGAACAAAGAACTAGCTGCAGAGAAACACCACCCGACGTCGGAGCCAGACAGACTGTGCGTAGGGGTTTTGCGACGTAGGCTGTCGAAGCTAGATCGGGAGGATGGACTTGAGTTGGTGTCGCTGGGGACAACGGTGGAAAGTGGGGATGATGAGTTGATAGTAAGTTTCGAGCTGAAATCGTTACTGGATGAATAGAAGTTGACTCCTACACAGGGAATGCAGAAATGGCCTAGCAAGATGTATCCTACAACCAGTTGCGTGATACAGACACGCCATCATGGCACCGAAATAGACCGAGAACGGCATTGTTATCGTCTCACATACACCAATACCTCATGGCAAATATCATACATTACTGCTTTCCCAAGCTTTCACCCAACTCCGCAGCTCTATCCGTGGCCGCCTTAACCGCCTGATCCACGATATCCGCAAAGTTCAACTTCTCAAAAGTCTGCAACGCGGCATACGTCGTGCCATTCGGGCTAGTCACATTCTTCCTCAGCTGAGCAGGCTCATCATCTGACTCAACCAGCATCTTTCCAGCACCGAGACAAGTCTGCGCCGCCAGCCTCGTAGCCTGCTCCTTAGTCAAGCCCAGAGCCGTCGCACTAGCAACCAGATGCTCAACCATAGCGAAGAAATACGCGGGACCGGATCCTATCACACACACCAACCATTAGCCTCATCCAAAACCAAACCCCAAACACAGAAAGAAAAAAATAACACATACCTGACAACCCCGTAACCACATCCAACAACTCCTCCCTATCCACCCACTCCGTAACCCTACTAACACTGCCCAACAACGCCTCCACCAACCCCTTATCCTCCTTGCCAACCTCCACTCCAGCAAACGCACCACTCGCCCCCTCCGTCACCAACGCCGGGGTATTCGGCATAACCCTGACCACCGGCGCCACCTTCCCACCCTCAACACTCAACCACTTCTGCAAACTCTCCAACGTAATCCCCGCCGCAATGCTCACCACAATCGGGAACTTCGCCCTCGCCGTAGCCGTCCATTCCTGACGGAGTTCCTCGCACACCGTCTTCGCGACTTGCGGCTTCACGGCCAGGATGACGACGTCAGCGGAGGACGCCGCCTCGGTGTTGGATGTCGTGACGTTCACGCCCAGCGCGGCGATCTTGTTCCGGTTGACTTCCCATGGCTCGGAGACGTGGATGTTGCTCGCGGGGACGGATTGGCGTAGTAGCCCGGAGATTATGGCCGAGGCCATGTTGCCGCCGCCGAGGAAGGCGAGGGTGCTGGTTTGGAGGGTGGGCATTTTGATTATTTTCTTTTTGCTTCTGCCCCTGGGGAATGAGGTTAAGGTGTATTTGGAGGGTGGGTTTGTGTGGTGGATGGGTTAATTGAAGTGTGATGGTGATTGTAATGGTGATGGGAGGGGTAGCTCGGTGGGTGAGGGACAGACACGTGATGAGATTGCCCCACTAGCTAGCTAGCTTATCGCGGGGTTGATATGATACGATTAGTCATGATGATCTATAACTAGTTAGATCTGATTATATTGAATGTTATTTGACAGCTATCAATGGGTTTTACAAATCGAGATTATGGTAAACTATCTATGATATTCTTCACGGTCACTGGTTTGAGCGGAATCTACGAACCTTAGTGACGACCTTCCATGATACAATATCCAAGAAATGTGACCTTCTTGTTAGAATGAGATTACTACATCAAGCTATCATGATCGCGGCGTAGAAGTGGGATACATTATTTCTACCCAAAATATCTGTAAGAATATAAAAAAATAGTAGTATCTTGTGCATGATGAGATTTTGAACATCGGTTGTCTCGATCTGCGGCGAACTAGTAGTTACCAGATGCTGGCCTGCTTAGGGTTGCACAGATCCCGGCGGATTTAAGGCAATATCGGGTCATTTTTGTGGCCGGTCTATTTGGATAGTATGACATGTATGGAGTTTATATGATGGCGAGGAAAGAAACAAGTTGTCCTAGTATGAGAAGACGATAAATATTGTCGGTTTACCGAAGAAATACAAAAACTGGGGATGGGCTTGTATTTTCCCGTTGCTATCCGGAGTAGGTGGTTCTATTGACTCACTGATTTAGTTACTATCATCGAACCTACATGAGACCTGTCTGTCTTATACAAGTGCTCTGGTCTAACCCCATTGCTAGATGTGTTCCAGCATGGGAATCTGAACCTTATAAATGTACGTGTTCCGACTCTGTAGCCACCGGTCCAACCACCGGCTCAGGTTTCTCTTCATTTCCTTGTCTCACCTCAGCATCTTTTCCGTCAAAAACACCGGCTATATGCTCGAGGCTGTATCCGCGAGTCTCTGGGTAAAAGAAATACGCCGAGAACCAGTATCCGGCCAACACGGCCACGAACACAAAGTAGTATTTCCATTGGATGGCCGAAAGCGCGATTGGGTTGACAAACGTGTTGAACACCGTACATCCAATGGCAGACAACCATACCATACTGAGCCCCTGTGAGCGGAGGCTGAAAGGCCAGATTTCACATGTATACGCAGTGAGCATAGGTGTCCTACCAGTAAGCATTAGTTCAGTCATACATCGACAGAAATGATCGCAATAGTTGGACAATAGTCTAGCATAAGATCACCTACAGCGCGATATCATATCCCAAGAAATATACAAAGAGGAAAGGGATAACTGCAATACCAACTGAACCCTTGCCAGTGTTAGCAAAGGCGCCTGACAACGCAGTGATGAGGATGAAAGCTGCCAGCATGGTACTGGCCGAGGTTATGAACAGAACCCGCCGACCGACTTTTTCGACCAGCGAGGCGCCAAGCACTGCGAAAAGAACGTTCCAGACTTGCAGGCAGGCCGAGATCAATAACTGATCGCGCGCGTGTGTGATGCCGATAGACGTCAATATCATGGAAAGGTAGTAGGAGACTACCCCGTTGCCCGACAATTGTGCAAATGCCCCAAGCGTAATGGTGATGAAGAGCCGATGGCGGTCTCCCGGAGTCTTGATCAAGTTTAGGTACCCGGCCGAAGCAGCCGCGCTGTGCTCCGCTTGAATTATCTCTTGGATATTCTGGACCTCATACACAATAAGAGGCGCAGTAGTATCACCACCAGTGTGCAGCTCAGCTAGAACTGTACGGGCTTTCTCGATACGTCCCCTAGATATCAACCATCGAGGACTCTCTGGGATAAATGCAAAACCAGGAACGGCAATGAGAGGAAGGAGCATCTGTAGAAGAACGGCAATCTCCATGCCCAGGAACCGTCATACGCTTGTGTTGCGAAGGTGGCCCAGGCTGCAACAGCGGCTCCAACGTAATAGCCGACCATGTAGAGTGCACCGAAGACACCACGATGTGCAGGGTAGGCAATCTCACTGAGGAGGATAGGGGCCGTGTTGCTTACCCATCCCATACCACAACCAATCACGGCACGAGACGCAGTGAAGACGTTGGCGGACGATGCAGCCGTACCCATTACGGTTCCAGCTAATAGAAGAATAAGCCCTATCCAGACGCCTACTCGCCGCCCGTATCGATTACACGCCCAGGCAGCAACTGGGGTGCATATCAAAGCCCCTATCCAGTAGACAGCACTTATAAAGCCAAGCCAAGTGCTGGATGGCTTTTCCATGAAGTTAACCCATTCTGGCATAGCCTGCAGGCCATTGACCAAAGAGCCATCGTACCCGCCCGAAGACGCTATGGGTGCTCGGTTAAAAGATCATCGAGGCAAATTTAGGGAAAGTAGCGGCGTACAGAAAAGGGATAGAACGCCCATAAAGAGACTGACCCTACGAAGGTGAGGACTGCGCCACCAACTGACAACAGGCAAGACAGAGCCCAGTTGTTGATCGCTAGATTCAGCCGCCACAGGGGTGCTCATGTTGATACGACGGCAAAGCTTCGGTCCAGAAAGGTGCTATCAAAAGCCACTGATAAGATACTCACTGGATCTTATAGTTACGTCGATGTCCAGCGGAGCAAGAAGTCAGGAGAAAAGAGCCGGCAGGATATTTCAGTATGACTTTATGGCGCTGAACAGCAGGGTGTCATGGTGAACCATGCCCGAAAATGCCCGACTAAACACCTGGGCTGGGAAGGCGCGACTGATTGCAGGATTGTATCATGGAAGCCTTGATGGCTGTTGATGGTACCCCAGACGTGGAATAGGCTCTTTCTGGGGGTGTACATCGAGGGAAAACACTCCCGCTTCACCTCTGGTGACCACATACCTGCACAGGGTAGTTCTTTCCACGGCCAGACGTGTAGGTTAGCCCGGCAAGGGGCTGTATGCGATCTGTAATCACGGAATAAATTGCCATTCACTTTGGATTTAAATTACGCTGTAAACAGGTGGCCGTTCGGTTGAATAATGACGTCCCCATCACTTATGCTGCCATTTTAATAATGCATGTACCATTAAGGCAACCCACCCCGGATGTATTGCCAAATCTCTTAACCCAACTGAATGTAACTTCTGTTGGCCGCCGGTGTCAATAAACAGTCCAACACCATCACACTCTGTATCTCCGATGCTGTATGGGGGCTGTCTTACCATCATACGGAGCACTACCATCCCCGTTTCCGTTGAAAAGTCCCACAAGCGCTGTGAGGCTCTGTGTGTCTCATGCTGAAATCTTGGTTGAAGCTGGAAGAGAAGCGGTGAACGATCCGCTTTACATGGTTTCCGCTGGTCTTGACCATTCCGTAAACCGGGGAACATACATCCATCACCACCGCCGGACGTTCTGGGCCTTCGACGTCCATGGTAACCAAGGTAACTTGAGGGCTGGGGCACCCCTCCAGCAACGCTTAGACGAGACCGCAATGGCATGTCATGCATTCGATAGTCGCGGGCATATCCTCAGATGCAGTGCGTTGGGGATGTATCACAGGGTAGGAAAAGAGGAATGAAATGGCATATTAGAAGTTTGCGGTGGTGAAGTGGACTCTGCCTGGACGGTGTCGCTCAGCGGAAGGGGTTTAGAACAGGCCAGCCCATTCCCCAGCTGATCACGTCTTGATTGAAACAGGATTTAAAAGTGGAATCCTCCATTACGTCTCACATTCGTCCGATTCTAACAAACTTGAGAGCAATGCTTGCGTGCTTGTTTGTAATGACTAGTGAGTCAGAAAAGTCCGACCCTGATGATCACTCCTATCAGCCTGTTAGCTGCAACCTCAATATGATTTTGTGCCTGGTTGCTACCTGAGATGCCTATTCACAATCGTATGGTATTCAAGTAGCTAGTAAGTTACGCTTTAACCACAGATCACTTCGTTAGCCGACCTAAGCCGACCCTCTGCTCCAACTCCATCCGTTGCGGCAGATATCCCCCTTCCTTATCTCCCCATCAGCAGCCCAATGCGCAAGGGGCCCTACCTAGACCAGCGGAAATCTCTCCGCTCCCACGGCTTAAGCCCCAAAGCGACTCGATTTGCATTAACAAAATTCCTAAGCTCACTCAATCCTTCATAGTCCTCGAAATTCATCGTCTCAAGCGGTTCCGGATCATCTGGCTCAGGAAGAATCCCTCTCAGATGTGCATTTGGACCGGTGGCTGGATACCCGCACGATTTGATGGAAACGTCGATAAGGCGCGGTAGTTGGCGTAGCTGCGTGAGGACCATGTGCCAGGTGCCAGAATGCAGTTGTACCAAAGACAGTTCGATGTGCTTGAGATGATCTTTGCATTGGCCAGTAAGCGCGCGGAAGTGGTCAAACGTAATCAGGACTCGTGCAAGACGTAGAGAGGTGAGGCAGAGCGCTGGGCTGAAATGGACAGTGTAGAAAGGAAGAACGTCTGTACTGCTGATCTGGAGAGCTTCTAGATTAGGAGCCAGCTCCACTAATCTAAAGAGATGGGCGGCGTGCAAGTCATTTGGAAAGGCGGCGTATGCAGCTGGTACAGGGGTTCTCCAGTATCGCTGTCCCAGCCTTTTCGTATACGCAGTGACATGTAAAGCTAGGTATTTCAGTCCGTGCAGTAAATCGTCCATGGGGATGTGCAATGGAGAAGATTGACTGGGGAAGAAGTATCGAAAGTCATGAGCCATGGGAAAGAAGAGCTCAAGCCCCTCCAAATGGGGTAGTATCACAAATCGTAGGGCTGTAACAATTGCTTCAATGGCAGCCCTTTCATTGTCGCGTGTCAATTCGCGTATCAAGGACTCGCCTGAGGCCCTTAATTTGAGAACGCGTAAACCGGACAGTTGCGCAAGACAAGGCGATAACAACCCAGCAAAATCCTGGATTTCTTGGCTGATTATTGGACAGGAAGTGGTGCCCCAGCTGTTGTATCCGATGTCTAGATGGCGGACATGTGCAGCGTATTTGCTCCGTGAAATTTCAGCAAATCTTTGTAGGGAGCCCCTGCTACCTGAGAGTATATTCCTCGTATACAATGAGTATACGAGGCCAATATCACCGCGCACCGAGGAGTTAATCGGAGCTACAATGCATTTAAACAAATGGGGCGACGCGGCAGCACAAAAATTCCGGCTAACCAAGCGTAAGCTTATGAGCTGTGGTCGAGCATCTAGATCGAGAGTATAAGGAAACAGATCGCGTAATGAGTAGTCCTTGTCAACTGTTGCTACTACGTGATCAACGATCTCAGTAGTGAGTTAGCACGCAGCCTGGTGTCGCCCACGGGTGTCATACCATGTCGCAGATCTCGACGGGAATTGTCAGTGCCATGTTATATGTACTGCCGTTGTTTTCAGTGACAAGATGGGGGACTTCAGTCTTTTATGATAGTTTATCCTCTTCTGGTTGTGCTGCAGTGAGGTTAGAAACCCCTGGTCGAGTTGGGAGAGGGGTGTGACCAATTAAATCGGCGGTAACCGCGCAAAACAGTAGCGCACTGCTAGACGCCATACCATAGCTTATCAGCCAATAATGATTATCAGTTGCTAAATATTCCAACAGCCTATACCGGCCTTGACATATGTTTGGTAGCCGGGAAAATAGTTCCACAACAAACTAAATATAAGATTTAGTATATGCTATTGATGAATATATCATACATAGAAGTGATATTATGTACTCTTAGGCCACATCCCCCTCATAGCAAAAAGCGCTGAGAGGGACCTTCAAGATTATTCGAATTACCGGCACTCAAATGCGCTGGTCTCGTTCCAGTTACCTCCAACATACTTGGCCTCCTTAGGGTAGACACAGAGAGGGCGCTGAGACTGCACACCTTCCGAGGGGGTGTCATCAATGAACTTGGTCGCAATCAGCTCATCAGGAGCAATGCCATTCTCAACCCAGGCCATCAGCGCCAGGATGGCATCGTGCTTCCGGTCACGGTATCCAGGCACACCCCAGACATTGGTGCCAGTAAGACCACCGGGTTGGTTAGCCGAGGCAATGTACCAGGGAGCATCGTGGACGGAGTCCAAACAGTGCTCCATACCAGGGATCAGGAAGAAGCGGTAGAAATCGTCAAGCTCGATGCCGAGAGGATTGAGCATCTTCTGGACCTGCTTGTAGTAGTAAATGCTGGAGCCGGTGGGGATCTCTCCGTCAGCGAATCCGTGGTAATGGATCAGTTTACCGCCCTTGTTCTTGAAGGGACGGAGATCGAAGTCACCGGCGGTGGCATTGCCAGGATCCAGTTGATCCGACAGCTGAATGGTCGAAAAGTCCAGGTTTTCCCAGGGCCAGTTGGCATCGTTATAGACAAAGTCACGGGGGTAGGCAATACCACTGGGGCTGTCCTGCTCGTCGTCGTCGGTCATGATCATTTGAGCGAACTGGGTTTCAGACCCGTAGGCAAAGCTGGGGAAGACAAAGGAGTCGTTAGTCTCAACCCAGGGGCTGTAGATCTTGTAGACAGTGTCAATCTGATCGGCGGTGAAGCAGGTCGACTTGTTGGCGGAGGGACCATCACAAAGAAGGGTTTCGGGACGGAAGTCGCAGGCATAGCCGTTCATGATAATGTTATCCTTGACACCATCAACTTCGTCGCATTGACGGAGGACTTCAGTGGCCAAAGCATCCACTTGAGTCTCGGTGATATGGTGGCTGGCATTGTTGGGAAGGTTGTAGGTGGCGAGCTTGAGGTCCCAGTTTTGCTGGTGAGTGGTCCACCAAGCGCAAGCACCAGCAAGAACACCATCGAAGTCGTCCGGGAACATCTGGACGGACTTCAGACCCTGGCGACCGCCAGTAGAGCAACCAGCGTAGTAGGAATAGCTGATATCTTCGCTGTAGAAGGCTTCAGTAAGCTCCTTGCCAAGGGCAACGGAGCCGTGGAGTGCACGCCATCCCCAGTCAGTGCGAGTCTCGGGGTTGTTGAGAGCCCAGCCTGCATCGCCAGCCTCAGTCACGGAGGAGTTATGTCCAGTGTTTGTGGAAACGGTGGCAAAACCGTAGAAAAGACCGGGTGCCATATCAGCAAAGGCAATCATTCCAGTGAAGCCACCATTGCCATAGGCCATGTAGCGCTTGTTCCAGGTGTTGATGGGCAGCCAAAGGCCGAATTCGTAGGAAGAGGTAGCAGACGAGCTCACGTTGACATAAACGGCACAATACTCGGGGAGACCGGAGTAGTTGCCCAACGGGCCAACGAAGGTATCGTTGGGTCCATACGGAACTGCGTAGACTAAGGAAGCATTGGAAGAAAGATGGGGAGTGAAGGTCTCAGGAGTACAGCGCGAGGCTGCGATAGCCTGGGTGGCAACCAGGTTAATGGCGGCCGCCAGGAGAAGTGAAAGACGCATCTTGATGATGAAAAGAGTGGAAAGGTTTGATCTGTGTGAGGAAAGTGATCTTCATTCTGTATTTAAGCAGCCGATGGAGCCTGTTCGTCCGCCCTGACCTACGTTCAAAGAAAGGGAAATAGGCATCCATGATTGAGACTGACGCGGCAGGAGGTTTTTCGAGAAGTGGGACGATTGAGCTGTTGCCAGTATCAAGGCTTCAATGTCTGATGATGTATGGGATGCTTCAGGGGCAAATCATGTCGAATCCACTGGTTGCGCGTTCCTCGTTGTGGTTCCGGGCTACAGAGTGGAGAAGCGACCACCAGATTGGTAGGGCAAAGCTTGATTCTAAAAGCATGCCGGTTGGAGTGGAGGATCATCAAGCCTTACTAGTTTAGCGCCCAGGTGAACTCTAGCACTAAAATTCACCATGCACAAAAGGTGGAGTTGTATAATACCACATTTTTATTGCCCGTATACCTGTTACTCTAAAATACGGCACTTATGCACATGGTTGCAGCTTGATGGCTCTAAATATACCACTAATGCACAATGTTGCAGGGCGGTTGCTCTAAAAGAGGAACTTACGCACAGGACTGCATATAGAATGGTTCTAAAACTGGGACACATGCAGAGTGTCGCAGTGTGACTGCTCTGAAAGAGCCACTGTTGCACATGGTTTCAGGACATAGTGTGCGTAGGTGGGGGTGGTATAATTAAGCTTATGCTACTAGTTCTTGACCATACAAAACAGGTGGTGGAGGCCGAGGTGCTTTATCGTACTATGTAACAAGGCGCCGGCAGCCGAAATTAAAACTTCATTCTATCTCCATATTCCGTATGGCTTCAGGTGGCTGCAGGTTACTACATTTAGCTGCATGAAATGTTAGACTCAAGTACTTCTAGCAGAGTACTCCTAGCAGAAATAAGAATGCTCGGGCCAGCAAAGATCTACAAACGATGCGGCACAATGGCCTAGAAGGCTTCGTCATAGTACGAGCAGAATCTTCCGCTAGAAGGCTTGATGCGGCAAGAGTAAGTGTAGATCGCGGAGATACTAGCAGTTGAATTCCTGATTAGTCCAAAATCAAACCGATGGAAGTCTTGTGCGAGAACATGCGGCAAAGAAGTCAACTCGTAACGGGTGTCGGTGGGGAATGAAGCAGCAGTACACCTGATCGGGTTTAGTCTCCGCAAACTTGCTGATCAAAACTCTCTGCACTAGTCCGGATCTGGGAATGTTCTCGAGCTCTGGCCAGACCCTGCTTTTCCTCTTTCGGTAGTAGACGGCAGTTGTCCGAATTGACGTGGTTTCAAGGATCATCCAGGTGCCGGCTACGCGGCAATATTTCAAGCTAATCTATGCTATTACTTCTGTATTCTGTGTGGCAAGTGGAGGATAATTTGCTTCATGGGTGTCTCAGAAGGGTATCGTAGTATGCAGGGCAGTTTGTGATGAACTCCAGTAGTATGTTCTTTTCGTTACTACCATCATACTAGTCGATCTGTACTGGGATACTGACTAAAATGCACTACCTAGGACATATTCAGACTTACCCCGAGACGAGAGCCTGATGGCCATGATGATCTTCAGTTCTTCAGTTCTTCATGCTTCTATATACCCATATCAGGCGTTTAGACTAAGGACTTATATATCTCTAGGCAGCATCATTCTTTCGGCACTATACATGACAAACCTGGAGGGATTAGACTATAAGCTTATCTATATGATACATACCTAAAATTGACTGTGTGGGCCTCTTGCTTGATTCAGGCGATTCAGCATATGGATCCACTTCTGAGGGTTGTTAGAGAAATGCTGTTCCTGATACTAGATAGGCTGTTGCACTTTTACTAGGAATCATAAGAATAATCAAGGTGTTTGGGATTATTGATTGTTTGTTTTTCCTTTATGTCTATCTTATAATTGAAAATATATGTATATACTATATATATTTTTTCTTGTATGTCTTTTAGTTACATGACAGAGTTCATTTAGTGACAGAATCTATCAGATTCTACTTGAACTAATTTCCAGCTGCGGTCTGACACTGTAACACGGAGCTCTTTACCCCGAAATCTCCGGAGAAGACGGATTAGACTGGTATAACGCACCCAAAAGAAATTCTACCTCCCCATCCACCCCCCATCAACCAACATCACACTTCCCGAGACATACCGACTCGCCTTCCCAGCTAAAAACACCGTAACACCCTTGAAATCCTCCGCGGTACCCCATCTCCCCGCCGGGATACGTTCAAGTATACTCTTCGCGCGGTCCTGATCATTCAACAGCGCCGTATTCATCTCCGTAGCCACATATCCCGGTGCCACTGCATTGACGTTAATACCCTTGCTCGCCCATTCATTTGACAAAGCTTTCGTGAGTTGCGCCACGCCGCCCTTTGCAGCCGCATACGCAGGAACTGTGATCCCTCCCTGGAAGGAGACCAGCGAGGCGACGTTGATTATGGAGCCGCGGTGGCCGGTGGCGTCTGGGGTGCGGGTGAGCATGTAGGCGCCGAGGTCGCGGCACAAAGTGAAGATGGTGGTTAGGTTTGTTTGGAGGACCTATCGATTATTATTTCAATTAATTAGTGTACGGGCGGTTTGAAGGAAGGGGAAAGGAGAGACCGGAAGACTGACTTCGTCCCAGTCGCTGTCTGGAAATAGATGGCTAGGGTGGCGTCGTTGGATGCCTGCGCAGTTGACTAGAATGCTGATGTCGTGGCCGTCGGAGAGGAGGGTAGGTGTGAGTTGTGAGACGGATTCGCGGGAGGAGAGGTCTGCGGTGTAAATAGTTGCTTTGCGGCCGAGGGATTCGATGCGTTGTTTTGTTTCCGTGTTGGATGTGTCTCTCTATTTCGTATAAGTTAGAGTGTGTGGTTGGTGTATAGTAGATAGTAATGGTGGATACCTGGACGAGAATCACGTCGCTGCCGGCTTCGGCTAGGGCAATGGCCATTTGCTGGCCGATGCCGCGGGTGC